AGAGAGAGAGAGAGAGAGAGAGAGAAGGAGAGATAGGAAGTAATATATAGAGAGAAAAAAACAACAAAAATTCATATAAATCTAAAAGGATATAAGAGTCTGAATAGATGGTTTGAATTCTGTCACGAACACGTTCGTTTTTGAATAAGAGTTGACTAGAGAGAGAGAGAGAGAGAGAGAAAAAGGTGTTTTCTTAAAGGTGTGTTAAGAGGTGGAAAAATGAAGGAGACAAAGAAGTTCAAGCATAGTTAAAATAAAAATAAGCTCAGCGAGTCATCATTAAACTTCAAAAGGATATAGTTTTTTGTAAACTAAAGGACATCTGAACTGTTACGGCTCAAACGAAACTTATGTCTGTATGTGTTGAATAGAGAGTAAAGTGAGCTCTCATATAGATAAGGCTTAACTATAATAATATATATGTGTATATACATATATATTATATATATATATACCTAAGTAATTTATAATGCGTAATACGAGTATTATGTATATGTGATCCAAACGTTGACGTAAAACTGTCAAATGCATATATATATATGTATGAAATATAAGCTTATAATTAGATAAGTTGAGAGGCGTCTTACTTTTTCATCTAACTATACCATATAATTATAAGCTTTTGACAAATATACGTCAAAATCATACAGATGCGGAAGAAAATGATGAGGAGCACAATCTTCAAATTATGGGGTAAAAAATCGCACAGAAAAAAAAAAGAAAAAAAAAGAATGAAAGAAGCTTTATCGACAAGAAAGCTTTAAGTTAGAAAAGAGTTGAAGTAAGTAGAAGAAGAAGAAACAACATTCTATTTCATTAACATTTCACTATTGTACTTTCACATAGTTAAATGAGAGGAAAAACGTTAATTTTTAATTGTTTCAAACATTTTTTTTGCTTTATCAAATCTCTAGTGAGAGAGATAGAGAGAGAGAGGGGGTGGGAGGTCTTAGAAGAGAGAAGAGGGAGGGAGATACATGAAGTAGAAGAACAATGCTTAAATATTGAAATATAAGAAAAGAAGATATATTAGAGCGAGAATATAAGATCAATAATAATAAAAATAATAATGATGAGCTTTTAACGTCATCAAGTACATCTGGGGTTGTTAATGATGCAAAAAATATATATAAAAGTGAATAAAGTTGTCCATGAAAAGTTGAGTGGCAAATAAGATAAATTGGAGAAGCTTTAACACTAAATCATAAAAAAAGCACGTAACAACAAAATTTCGGCTTCTTTGAATATGCAAAAGAGAAAAAAAAATGTTAGAAAAATATTAAAAAAAAAAAAAGAGAAAGAGAGATGGAGATAGAAAAGGTGAAATAGAAGAGTTCAGATAGAAAGAGGGAGAGAGAAAGAAAATGAGAGGGAATTCACGCGCGTCTTATATATAATAGTTGTTGGAGTTCAAAATGAAAAGTAAAATAAATTTCTTTTTATGCAGGAAAAAAAAAGAGAACGGAAAAAGAGCTTTAGGAGAAAAATACGAGAAGAGATAAAGAGAGAGAATAGGAGCAAGACTTTCAAATACTTCTCGTTAGACCATGACAGCAGACAAATCTCTTGGAAGAATTTCCGATTTACTTCTTCCGAGATTAGCCAAATAGCCTGTTGCAATTTGACCGTCTCTTTTACTTGACAAGAGAGTGAATTATTTAATATTGCTACGAAACGATGTATGTTATAGTTAATTAAAAATATTCTCATTACGTAGAACAAAATACAAAAATTCAAACTATGATTAGGGCAAGGGATTATAGATTGTTGAAAAAATGTTGCGAAATTATGCTCATTCATATAAAGGATATATAATAAATAAAACTTACATGTATGGATGATGGCTCGGATTTAGAGAGTGTAAGTCTGTTCACTGGATGACCAACCGATCTTGTGAATGTATGTTTGTTATAAATGACACGCTCTTAAGAATCACGCATTCCACGTGAAATATTCCACGTGCTCTATACTCATGTCTAAAGGCTTCTCAGATATCATTGAGGGGGCGAGATCTAAGCCCACTCAATGCTTATATTTCAATTTTTTATTATTTGTTGAAAGTATTTTTTAAATTAATTATTATTTGTTGTATTCTTGAAGGCATATAGAGCAGATAGATCTCACATATCTGTCCCCAGAGGTTCTGTACTCTTACCATGTACGCAAATGAAACGAAACCTATTGTACTGTTACCATGTACGCAAGAATCTGCTAGAGAATTTTAAATAAAAAAAATTAAAAGTTGTTTCATTGCTATCGATCAATATAGCGGTGTATATATGAATATATAAATGAAAAAGAAATAAACATATAATATGTAATCAGTTTATCTGTTTGTTTACTATGGATGTACGGAAAACCATAGAGCAGGATTGTGTACCATGGTCGTCTTAGCTGGTGCTGTATATACCTCAAGAGAAACAGAGATATTTCTATTATCTTGGTATTCTTAGAGAAAACCTTTTTTTCTGTTCTTGAATGATTGTTTTTTCCTTCACACCCGTCTGGAGTTTTACGGTGTTGAGTATTTGAAAAATGGTCGAGTTCAAAAATTATGTTTTTGGTACAATTGTTTTGAATTTTCTTGTCAAATGGTCTATGAAATGCAGAAACTAAGATAATCGGGCATTTTCTCATTTCTTGTATATCTTTAAGATCTTCTTGGCCGTTCCGTTGAAAGTAATAATGTCTTGTGAAGAGCGAACTAAACTATCAAGATTTCAAGGTGTTTGTCTTTCGAGTGCAACTAATTGACATATTTGCTCTCTTCTGTTCCTCTAGCAGCCTCTATTCACACCAATGTCTGCAAGCTCATTCTAAGTTGTCATTTTGATGTTTTTTAAAATATTGTTTTGTTATGTTTTGCTACTCTCTGCATTCTTCACAATATCCGAAGTAGAATGCAGCAAAGCGGAAGTAGAACTGTATAAGTTGGTCTTCTGTCAACTTCATGTCGTTTCATGTTTGAGTTCAGATCTCTGTTGAGAAACTATAGTTCTTTGGTGCGGCCAGTAAAAAATCCCTCCAAGCCATTGCCAGTGTTTATTAAAGTTTTTCTTCAACAAATTATAAATGTGGATGAACAGAATCAAGTTGTAGAAATCAATGCGTGGCTTAAATATGTGAGTCTTCGTATAATTAGATTAGGAGGCAGCTACTGCTTTTGAGACATGGAACGATTACCGCCTACGTTGGAGACCCCTATCATATGATAATATAACTTCAGTTAGGTTTCCAGGAGGAGAAAGTCCTATTTGGCAGCCTGATATACTTCTCTACAATAGGCAAGACTTCTTCGCCACAGAATAGTGGGAACTTTTATTTTAGCGCTGATGATCGTTTCGATTCTTCATTCAAATCAAATTTGGTAGTCTATTCCAGTGGACTGGTTAATTGGATTCCTCCCGGAATCTTCAAAATTTCGTGTAAAATGGATATTACCATGTTTCCTTTCGATGAACAGGTGAACAGGACTGTAAATATCGTTCTCACGGGGACTTCAGATTTGTTTCATGAAGTTTGGTTCTTGGACATATCATGGTTTTTCAATCGATCTTCAAGTTGACACAGAAAAGGAAGATAGTTAGCACATTCTAAAATCTGTTTTTTACTTGTACTTTTAGCCCCAGCTGTTGATTTATCAACCTATATCAGTAACGGAGAATGGCGTCTAATCAACGCACCAGCACATAGAGAAGTCAAGTTTTACAAATGCTGTTTGGAGCCTTATCCTACAATCAAGTTTCTAATCTTCAAAAAAACGCATTCATTGTTTTGCATAGGTTTTATATGTATATCAGAAGAAGAGCACTCTATTACGCGTTCAATGTAGTTATACCGTCATTACTAATCTCTTTGATGACTCTATTGGCATTCTGTCTACCAGCAGATGATATGAGTGAAAAGATCGGTTTTCGTAAGTACAGATAAGTAACATGAAATATTCATTATTTTCAGAGACAACCATACTGTTATCTGTATGCTTCTTCCTAACAATCCTGTCGGAAATGGTCCCGACTACGTCAGAGTCTATCCCATTATTAGGTATTAGCAAATGCGGTAATCATGCTTATGACATGTTTATAGGAATGTTTTTTTCTGCTCTCACTCTTATCGTTTCGATCACAACTATCTTTACAATAGCAGTTTTGAATATAAGATATCGCCAGTATGCCAATCACACAATGTCACCCCTGGTATAGATCCACTGATATATCCAACGCTCACGAATGGGTTTTAGTTCAGACAAGTGTTTCTGGAGTGGATACCTTGGTTGGTCCTACTAAAACGACCAAAACATAAGTATATAAAAGGAAGATGTGTTAATGTTTCATCCTCAGAGTTCCATGATTGTGTTCAAGTTTGTTTACGACTTAGCCTCTTCCTTCAACAACTCTTCCAGTGCGCATATAAAACGGGCGACGCTGTTTCCAAATGTTTGGAAGAGCAAGGTCTGGAAGATCCAATTTTATCAACTCTTGCCTCCGAAAAATTAGGATTAGAACGAAAAGTGGGGGAGGTTCGTTTTTTTCCCCCCAATCTTCTGTCTAATCAGAACTTTTCAAGGGGATATTCATGCCGAAAAGGTTCTCAAACGGTAAACGGTTCCGATGGACTCAATATGAACGGTGTTTGAAAAAATGTATCCAACTTGTCAAAGAGGGTATTCCGATAAATTCTTCTAATTTTAACTTCATACTGTTCAGAAAAGAGCGATGATGAGTCGACGGAGATGTCATTGTATATTTTGAACATTTACTCCAGTATTGTATCGAAGATACGTCGTGTGAGGGAGTATGTTGATAGAAAATCATTGAAGAAAATGAACAAAGTGAGTCATTATATTACCAAAGTTATTCAAATTTATTATTAGGAAGAATGGATGATGGCAGCTATGGCTTTAGATCGTTTTTGCTTGATTCTTTTTGCAATTTTTATGACAGTTGTCATAGGAACTGTGTTCTTTGCATCTCCAAAGATTGATATGATATGATTATTCCATTAAAAAGTCTTTCCATCTAATCAGAAACTGTCAATTTCTTCAAAATGTTGTGAAATGACAGTTTCTACTATTATGAAGTTAACTATTCCGCATTACTCACTCTTCTGCAATACGTGTCCTTTTCTGGCTGATTCAATTCTCAAGAACACACTTACTAGACTACCTAACATAAGCTCGTGTAGAAGCCTTCTCTTGTCGGTACGCACTGTAGTTGATTCCGACTACGTACTTGTTTTTGTGATGTCGTCCTACTCTTAAACATTAACACAAGGGAGATGGTGATGTAGTATTCTTATCATGTTTCACTATGAACCTTAGATGTGCTAATCAGTTATCAGCTTATTCTAGCTCTGTTTTACCTTCCGCTCAGTATATGCTTTTTCTTGCTGTTGCAGTTTAATAATCTTTGCTGAATGTTACTTGTGTGAATGTTTAAACTATTAGGATATTATATGAAAGTTGTAACAGTTTATTATTTGTTTAGACCTTCGCTTTATGATATGCAAGATGTGGAGTACAAGCCTGACTCGAATCATATATCTTTAAATGAACTTGTACCTATTTTGAATGAAGGTGAAAGAGCCATAGATTAGATCTTTTTTTTAACCTTTCCTTCCATATGTTTTCATCTTTTTCATGAAAAATTATTAGGGCTATCATTTTCTAAATGATTTTCAGATTGCGAGATAACCAGAGAACACCAGGTTATGCGGATTTTCTCAACAAAATATCTATCGGACCAACACCTGAAAGGGTTCGATAGGTACAAGGTTGGTAAACTTTCTTTTCTTTTAAATACTATCTGCTTTAGTATTGCTGTATCGATAATAGTCCATTATCCGTTTACGTATCACATCCGTTCTGGAATTGGATTGTTGAGGTATTTCCACCTAAAATTCCTTTCGTTATATTCATTTGTTAAGTTCTACCCAAAGACAATCGCTCCTAATGTCCTTACTTTGGCTGGATGGGCATTAGTAATGGGCTGCTTCCTTCTCGAATGTGTGCTAGATTATGATTTGAATAGAAATAGTGTAGGGGGGAAAAATCCTATTCCGGATTGGTGAGTTGAAAGATTTAAGGTTTTTAGTTTTCAACAATTCGTCAAGGTTCTGGATGGCTGCTGCCATTTGTACTTTTCTCGGCCATACTTTAGATGGAACTGATGGAAAGCAAGCTAGAAGAATAGGCGCTTCAGGACCAACTGGAGAATTATGTAATACGTTGATCAGAGTTTTTATAAAGAACTTTACATTTTAGTTGATCATGGCTTGGACTCATGGTCAACAGTGCCTTTCACTATCACAATATTTTCAGTTTTCGGAAGAGGAGCTTTCAGGTTCGTTTCTACTATGAAATCAGATAATATCGTTTATTCTTAGCGTGCCTCCCTTGAACCTGCTATATGTTCTCATAAGTGTTCAATTAGTTTTCATAGTCACTCATTGGGAAAAATATAACACAGGTGTTATGTTTTTATCATGGGGATATGATGCTAGTCAATATGTGAGTTAATACTACGAAAGTTGAGTAATATCGCATATTGTCAGGGGCTTGTGTTTGTTTATCTTTTCACATATGTTGTTGGCTACCAATGGTTCAAGTTCAATGTGATTGGAGATGTAACCTTTGCCAGAACATTCGAGATTGGGTTCTACTGTAAGTTAGATCATGAATAAATTAATAAATTTGTTGAAAAGTGTGTTGTGTGGGATCGCTCGTTATGTCCGGATACAATATGTGGCATGCCTACGCCGTTACCAAGACATTCAAACAGGTATGCTAGCGAGCTTTTCTTGCTTAACTTTTCTCTTCCAGTCATCAGTAGCCGAAATGGCTCGTCCAATGTTCCCCGTTGTTTTACTTTTCGCTTCAAGCGTAGCGTGGGCTGCTTATTCTCCAAGTAAAATTTAGTTCAGCAACGAAATTCTTATGTTATTTTAGCCCAAGTGATCGAACAAGATCCACGTATGTTCTTCTTCTGTGTTGGAACTGTTTTCAGTAACGTCGCGGTAAGCTGAATAATTTAACGAGTTATGTTAATGGGTCGCTTCAGTGTCGTCTCATCATCTCCCAAATGTCTAGCACAAGAGCTTGTGTATGGAATAGCATGCTGGCTATTTACGTCGCAGTAGCTGGTTAGTTCAACATATACTTTCTTTCTCAATGTTTTCGTGTTTTAGGGCTCTCATTCCTTCTTCCTGTCTTCGAACTTACTCTTCTCCGAGTATCAACTATCGTCATTACTGGCCTTCACCTCCATTATGGTGTTTGTGTTGTAAGTTTTTACATAAAGTTCTCCTAATATCATATGTCCTTTAGGTTCGTCAATTATGCGAGCACTTCAAGATTTACGCTTTCGATGTTTCATATCTTACAAAAAAGAACTGAGAATTCAATTGAGAAACTATTAGATTTTTAGTCTGCTATCTGATCGCTTTCATATCATATTTTGTGCCATTCAACATATTTTACATATCTGTGATAAACAAATAAAACATTTTCTTGCCGGAGTTCCATACTTTATCAATGTTAGTTCACAGTCTGAATATTTCGTTTGCAAACCATCAACCTGACTGTACTCGACATGGCTCAGGCCGACTAAAGGTACCAGACGTGATTATATTTTCCGGGTATTCCCTTAAACACTGCATAGTTGTCTTGCGGTAGTAGTGTCATCTTTGTATCAATCTGACTTAGCTGCTTTCAGAAATGTTGAGAAAGATTTTTAGTTCAAAGGTATTACTGAGAAGATTCAGTCAAGTAGAAAACATCAGAAGTATTGAGAAAGAATTACCTAGTCCAGATTTCTTGTCAAAATATATAAGAAAACCATCACAAAAACTATTATTTTCTAAAATTGTATTGGAGCTGCAGGTTTTATCAAGAGTATTGCTCTTTCGTGCAACTCTTTCAGACGTTTTTGAGAATTCTCGGTTCTTCCTCTCTGCCTGAAATTACTGATGATGTTTGGACAAGTCTTGTTTCACTACCATCATTCGAGCAAAGAACGCAATTTCTTATTATGTTAAAACAGAATCATTCAGAGCAACAGGATAGAATAAAAGATGAAGTTTAGTTTCCCCATATTCTGTTCAGTAAATCTTTATTTTTAGCTTGAAAAACCCGAGATTGGCTCTTCCAGTAACATATATTATAGTGAGGGAAAAGAGTTTAGAAGTTTGTTGAGACATGAAACAAGTTAAACGAAAAATATCATAGAGCGAATAGACCAATATCATTCCAATAGCGTATTGAGATTAAAAAGGAATGAGGAGGATTTGCCTCAGTTACTGGTTGACTGCAGATTTTTGAACGATTTCTCTCTCACAACTCAAACGGTGTTTATGACGTTCGTATGAGCATATTGTTTTCAATAATAACTCGTATTTCAAGACAAATTCAAAAGTTATATGAAGCAAACTGGACATCTCGACACCCCTTTAATATAACAATAATGAATTACACTCCTGATCAACAACTGTCAACAGTAGCTCAGAGGTAAACTATTTTCAAAGATTTAAAAAAAAATCTATTTGAAGAAATTTATATTTCAAATATGGACCCCCATCAAAGGATAAGAATGCAAAGTTTGAGCCGCATATGTTTGCTCCCAAAATTACGAGTCAAAGTGTGAAAAACGTACTACCCTGTGATAAAAGTGAGTTCATACAACCGCTCATCGCTGTCTCAAACTTAAGAATGATTGAGACCAATTCTGCGTTCAACTTTTTGAACTGACGTGTGAGCTGAATGAATCTCTTTGTTCCAGGCGAAGCTATCTATATTTCGTGGAAAGCTAGAGATGTGCTGCCTTCAAAACCCCTTAACTGCAAAGCCGTAATATTATGTACAAGTCTTGATGCACAACCTTGCACGAGTAGTTATTCACTCGCTATAATGGAAGGCATTAAATCATATAGAATACCACTTGAGAAACATGTCTTGTAAGCTATAATTACGTGAAGGAAAGAAAAATAAAACTCAATTCCAGGTTGAAAGGATCTCATCGAGTCCTACCTCTAGCACAAACATCAATGGTTTTGCGATCGTACTTTCTTGGAGATGATTTGGGACAAGCTATAAAGGATTCTTTTTTGCATGTGAAGTTGAGCAAACGTAGCAGAGCTAAAGAGAGCGAAGCTCTCATCGAAGTATCTATTAATTCATAGTTCTGCATCATTTTTTTTTGCAGAGCTATAGGAGCATCGTTGAGAAGCTTGAGTTAGAAAAAAACAGGGAACAGAAGAAGATTGAATTTCTTAACTCTCCTTCCAAAATTGGTAGCTACAAGCCTACTGCCCGTTCATACAATCATCGATATAGTCGTGAGGAAAGGAAGAACAAAAAACAGTGAAAATAGGTTCGTTTATACACCTTTTCAATTAAGCTTACTTTCATTGATTTTGTTTTCATTTTACGCACATTGTGCGAAAAAGATGAGGAAGTGTTTGTCTGAGAATAGATAAGATATTGGCTTCAAACTTCTATTTGTTTGTAAAGTTATCTTTTCTCGAAACAACTTTAAAAGTAGAATCATCTGTTGACTTATAATTGGAAAAAAGAATCTTTTATTTTAATTAGAGTTTCATCTGTAAGTGTTGATGGAAGATTTTGTCACTTCACTATCTGCTTCTTTCTTTTTATTTTCCACTCTATCATCATGATGATGGGTATTCTGTGGCTAGTTCATGGATTCTTGGCTATGAATACTCACTAATGAGATAGATACATTCATGATGTTTTGGAGTTTAGAGTTCTAATTTAGGAAATTTTACTAGAACAAACTCGCAACTATCATTTTTCTGTGCTCTGTGCTTAATACTTGAAGCGTAAAAAGCAAAATTGTTCTCTAATTCATTGTGTCAGTTTGTTTGACCTCTTCCACTTTAATCCCACTCATTATTCACAGATTCTTCTTTCATATTGCGAAGTAAGCGTAAGAAAGGATTTCTTGGTTTGTGGACTAATACCTTCTCCTTGCTCTCTGTTTTAAACGCTGAGCTTTCTTTTATAATCATAAAAAGCTTCTGTCGTTTTTTTTATTATTTTATTGAAAACACGTCATTCATGTATTAGTTCGTCGAACCGACTTACGACTTCCGCCAGCATTTCCTTATAAGCACGCAGGTTGACTCAATCTATTCAGAATCTCATTTTTAACCTTTTCTATCCTGGAATACTTTTGAAGCTTGTTTTTTCTACTCCAAACTGTATTTGATCGCTCAAGTTGATGTTTTCATATTCGTAGATACCTTAGTTCGAGGTTTTGGTAGGAGGAGCGAAGTTCGTTTGTGAATAGAAAAAAGTGAGAAACAAAAAGAAGCAGACATCGTATGAGATAGATCAGATATGTGGAAGAGGGTGCAAAGAGCAAGATTCCTCACCTTCTCAATCTTAGCATGGCTGTGATTCTGGAAACAACATATGCTTCCAGTCATTAAAAAAAACTCGAATTGCGTTCTGATGTACACCTCTACCACCATTTCGAAAGTGTGAATAAATTGAGCTGTTATTGCCTAGTCTTCTCTTATTCTAAGATGTTAGCAAGGTGTCATCGAGTTCTCTGCGTTTCTTTTTAAGTGTATTACTGCTCTTTCTGATCCAACAAACATATTTCTCTGTGTAATGATGGTTAATGAGCTATGAAGATGAGGATAGAGGGTGTATAATGGAGTCTTTGATTTGAGAAATAGACGAGGAAGAAAAAGAGAGAAATCATCAATTCCAACATAGATTTGCACTCATCTCATTCTTTTCATCTGAAACTATCGTTTATTATCTTTTCAAAAGTTTTTTTTCTAGTGGCAGATAATGTATGGAACTCAACGGGGATAAAATCGGTACAAATTCAACCATTCTGTTTTTTGGTATTTGGACACGTGAACAAGCCGTCACTTATATAAGGTACTTTCCTTTTCATCTTATCTTCCTTCTGGAATCGTATACTCGCCGAGTAAGAAATAATTAAGTTCGTTTTTCAGCTTCGCCTACGTCATAATCTCAATTTTAATGGTACTTGTATGGTCCATGTATTTGTGCTGGGATGGACGAAGGACACCTAAGAGAGATACGCGCGTAATTCATATGCTAGCTCAAGGAACTATGTCACAGCTACAAATTCCCTGAAACGACTTCATATGTTATTCTTATATTTCTTCTACTTCTGCTTCTCATCAAAACTTCTTGGATACGTGTATTTTTTTTTCATCAAAGCTGTGTTGTGTCATCATATCTTGGCCGCGATTGAAAGTTGTTAGTGTTGGGGTTCGTCTGTAGAAAGATGATAACTTTCGGACAATCGTCTATGATCTCCAATTATCACTTGCACTGAAATCTGTACGATTTGCATGTATTTCTCTATTTGATTGAAAATACAGATTATATTTGTAGAATGATGTTGTCTAATGTTTTTGATTATCAACTGTTTGTGAAATGACATTGATGAGCGACATCTGACATCGCGAAGAGAAAATCTAAATTGTTTTTCTAGACCTACTTGCTTATCTCGACTGTTACTCAAAAATGATTTCGCTTCTTTTTGATCTTATTGTCGAACTGTTAGAATAATAGGTAGATGTCGCTACTAGAAGAAGAGTGGGAATCAGCTTCTAGTTGTCAGCTTCGTCAGACGAGAGAATCTGAAACATATCTCTAAGTTTTCTGATGCTGCTCATTTTTTGAGCGTAGGAGTTTCATATAAAAACATCCAGGCAGCTGCCGATAGATCGTTTGCTTCAATTAATCTGAACCCAAAAAAAGAAAATCCATATCTTAAGTAGAGAGCATGGCCAATATTTAATGAAAAGTTTTCTTCATTCTCTTGAAACTTTGCCAGCATTCCGGAAGCATGCGTAACTTAGCTTTCTGCTTGGTCCTACTTAGCATCAGTGCACTCGTGAACTGCTGTGAAGAAGGTAAAAACTATAAGATCGCCACCTTTTATAAGCAGTGCAATGAAGGTGTTTTACGTTGGAAAGGTAAGACTCATCTGTTTTTTCAACAACTTTATTGGGTGTTGCTTAGGATGTGTCGCAGACTGGCTGACTGGAGAGAGCCAATTCATTCCATTCCAAAGTTATATTGATCACATCTTACATCCATCTCTTGGATATAGATTTTACTGTCGCTCTAGAGGAAGATCTTACTCATTCCAAGTAGAATGTACTCAGAACATTCTTTATTTCGAAAAGGCCTAATTATTTTTTTACAGCCTGTGTCCTAAGAGATTTAGAAGGAGTGAGCGAACTTCGAATTGGAGAACGGAAGCAAATAAGATCTGCGAATGGACGATTCACCACTTATACCTGCAGACAATGAATGTTTACCCATTCACAAGATAGTTTTAGTTTATTATGATACTGAGTCTTCTTTTATAGATAAACATTAGTAAGAATTTGAATATTATTTCCTCGACACAAGCTACTCAACAGTGCCTAGCACAGTGTTCCATAATACTTGGCCGAAAATAATCAGAACCTCACTTATCTTTATTATCGTCCGTATCTTTGTGACATTTTGCTCCGGGTCGTATTTGAGGATCATTTCTTCTGTTCAATCTATGTAATCAGATGATATATGACTAAAAACTGAATACTCATCATGACATGTGCAGAAGAATGTCTCTTTCTTTATCGATTGTCTGCATCACTGATCAGAGGAACCCCACCCTATCAGCAGTGAGTCTAGTCAACGCAACAGTGATATGAACAGGGTAAACTACAAATTTGGACTTGTTGAGGCAATCATTAGCTTTTACTGACAGTTTATGATTGTTTTCGTAAACGTTCCAATTGCTTCCTGTCTCTAGCTTAATGCTTATGCATCTTAAGAGTTTCTCAAAAGTATTGAAACGTTCCATAAACGGAACTCTTACCATTCTTATCGAACAAGATCAATGCTTTGCTAGACCCTAAACACATTTGACGATGTTTGAACGTTGGTATCTATTTTTACTTTTATCCGAACAAAGTTGAGGGTGGTCTATGGTTAATTCTATTTAAGTTCAAAGATTTTAGAATTAAAGATGAAAGGGCCAGTAAAGGATCTGTTGACATGCAATGTTGAGTTTCCAGAAAGTTCAAATCGAATCGTACTATCTATAATCTTGATTTCTGCAGAAAACAGTTGTTAAGGTGATTAGAAATTTTGAGATCAAGTTATTAGGTTTTCGAATCCTCACATCTGCTGATGACCAATGTTATCATGTGGTTCTAACGGGAGATCAATGTGCTCTGTTTGTGCAACGTTTTTGATAAAAAAATAAGTTATTTTTACTTTATTATTAGTATTATAATAAAATCAAAAACTATCTTGTGAATGTGCAAACATTGAATGATGTGGTTTAAGTGGTCAAACCATCTATTTCGCTGATTGTATTTGCCTCCGTTCTCCAATTCGAAATTCACTTCACATCGAATTCATTTGATATTGAGAATGGAAAGGTTCGTGGAAAATCTCTTTTTTTCTTCTTTTTTTTTGTTGCAATCATCTTGAGATGATGAAGCTATCTCAAACACTAATGAAATAGAAATCCTTTTATTAATAATTAAATATTAATTAATTGGAAGAGTATTCACACATTACAGAGAAGAGCATTATGTGACAATAACTTCAGTCTCTGAACCAGGATTATTATCATTTCCTTTAATTTCAGTTACATAGGAAGCCAGTAAAGCATCAAGCTTCATACATTCAAGTTCTGGATGGGATCTAGAACAGAAAGCATGTTGAATGTGAACAAATGAAATGCTGCCAAACCTCATATGTCCTCGTATTCCCCGTATGCTATAACCTCGATAACCACACTCCTTACATACATAAGCCTAGAATAGATGATAAAAACATATTTTTTTTCATTTATATTAATTATTTACTTGAACATCATTATGAACATTCCTTATATGTAATGATAATTGAGATATGGACTGTGGTTCGTAGGAACATTGTGAACATCGCGATGGCAACTAAAGATAAATTCAAATAGTTTATAACATTTATCTGTACATAAGATACAAATGTTTTGATTGTTGTTTCTCTTCTTTAAAAGCACACAAAAATTATTAATATTATTAATTATATTATTATTAGTAGTGTATTAATTACATATATACACATATTCACACCTTCCGTGTTGGCTCACGATGATCATCTGGTCGTCCAACATCTTTGCAGTATAGTGTTCGATGAGCTTTTAATGTGTTCATGGCTGAAAATGTAACACCACAAGAGCATACATATGGCTTTTCTCCTTCTGTTGAACTTCCAGCTTTTGCAAAAAATGATTGTGAAGCCAATGCCTACAAAACGTTCAATTCAACATTGAGGAGATGAACGGATAACCTTATTGGTTGCTTCAGCTATACTGTCATGTCGTGCTCTCTTTGATATCTCCATTGGGGATAGTGAACTGCCATCGTGTGCTCGTTTCATGGATGGATTACTTGTTGTTATATTCAGTGTATTGAATACTGTACTAGTGCTGGGAGCTACATCCGGTATAGGATTGACTGTTGCTGGTAGAGCTGTACCGATTATTGATGCACTAGAGCTGCATGGACTAAAGTTCGTTGTACAAAACAAGGCAAGAAGTATGAAATGGATCTTACGTGTCAATTTGTACGAGTGGAACTGTCACATTAAGGCCATCATTACTAAAATTAATTGAAGGCGGTGTTTTAATGGATGCACAAAACGGTTTCTAAAGAATCAATGATTGACGTTGTGATCTGCTCATCTGATTCATACCTGTAGTACCAATGATCCAGTCGTAAAATTTTGTTTTCCAATAGCTATGGGGATGATCGTTTGAGGTGGTCCAAGGAACTTTAATTGAATCATCACTATTGATGCGATTAGCTTTATCTTACCTGAATGAGATCTGATTGAGGTTGATTATGTTGAGCAATTGGTAGTAAAACAATATTCTGAGATTGCATAGGATTCGTCAGTCCGAGTGGAAGAAGAAGTGAAGACGTGCTTGGGGTAGTTAGGGAAGTTTGTAATGGAGGTATTATTGTTTGTGAAAGAGAGTTCATTGGGGTAATTGATGGGCTTTTCAGCATTGCTGCTGTCGATAAGCGATTATCTGAAAATACAATGTAGTTCATTAGCATATTTCCTCCATTTGACGCATCCAGCGGGCTCTATCAGATGTCAAATATTCATTTTGTATGAATAGAAGTTGTGTTGAACGGTTGTAAAATGTTCATTGTGTCATTCAGAGAATTTGAGGCAAAAGATGAAGTTTCAATCGTGTTTGAACTATACTGAAGTAATCTTTTGCAGATGGCTTCAATCTTATCTTGATGAGCTGAGACAAATGGCAAATATGTCATTGTTAGATGATTTTGGATATGATTGTTTAAGAAGAATGTATTCAGTTCATTCTAATCTTATCTTTCTCGTCATTTCATCACAAGTAAAAAAGCAATGAAAATGTCGTCTGTGATGAACACGAGAATACAGACGAATGAACGAATGAGGATGAAAGTATGAAGAAAAAGAAGAAGAAGAAGAAGATGAAGAAGAAGAGAAGAGAAGAAGCATAAATTTAAGCAAAAGTAAGAATTCGAGGAGATAGATAGCCCGATGGAAACGATAGATAAGAAAGATGAGGAAACGAAGAAAGTTAACTAAAGAACTTTCCATTTTCTTCATTTTCATCAAAGATTAACTTACTTTCAGCTTTTTTACAATATTTTTGTTGATGTACAGCTAAATTTTCGAAACTGTTGAACTTAGCCAATCCACAATGGTTACATGGATAGCCTGTCAATAAGAATATATAAGTATAATAATATTATAATATAATATATTATATAAAGATGTTTCTGTATAATAAATGAAAAACATACGTTTCTCTGATCCACCATCGCTGATTTTATCATTGAAGGAAGAGATTGAATTTCCGGAAGTAATATCAGCCAAATTGATGGACGGTGCTGTGGTTAAGAAGGCAGTAAATATAGTTTCCGTTTGACGTATATCCTTTGTAATGACAAGTTGAACAATTTTATCTATAAAATATAATATATATTTTTAAAAGATAATATGTCTTCTTGTTCAAAAGATGTTAGGAATAGTTGCAGATGATTATTTCATAACCTTTTGATTCCATACATCTCTATCTCTATCGATCATTACATATTCGATTGAATGTTTGTGTTCTTTTGAATGCTTATCAATAATACTTTCATAAAGATAACAATATCATATCTCTCTCTCTCTCTCTGTTAGATTCTCTTAATAATACTCAACATTCATATTTGTAAATAATTTTGACAAAAAAGAAAGACCGATAACGTTTCAAAACAATTTCGAAACGCTTCGCGTCCATTTCATATAATATGAAAGTGCAATGAAGGATCAGTATCAGTGATTTTTCAATGAAATCAAGTAAATCATGGAGCAGCAAAGAGAAAGCGAGAGAGAGAGAGAGAAAGAGAGAGAGAGTGAGGGATGAAAGTAACAGAAAGGATAGATACTGTTACAATCAGACAGAGAGGGCATCTTAAGGCGGATATTCCGGATGCGAATCTCTTTTTTTCCCCTATCATATGATGATTGTTATCACGAAAATTAACTTATCAATTCATATCGCTTGTTGGACGCTATCATGAGCCTTATGAATAGATTTCAACAACTCGCATACAAATAAGGAATTATTCCGGAAACAATGGAAAAGGGCAGGGGGGCTTTGTTAATAACGAACACTTACCGAGTACATAGGCAACAGCATTGACTGCAAGTGGATCTGCACATGCTTGTATCCGTGATAGAATAGGATCTTTTTCAATAATTTCAAATGAATGGGTCTTTCCAAACTGATCAATGAGCTAAACATCAGTTTGTGACGATCCATATGAAAGAGCAAGAAGATAACTTACAGTCAATGGAGTATATGATGTGCTTGGATTGTCATTTATATGAAAAGGACCTTTTATATCTCCCGTTCGTAATTCTATTGGTAATAAGGCTGTTGGAAGAAGTGATATTCCATTCTTCGGTACCATTCCACTTGCAAAAATTCTGACCAGCTGAAACAAGAACTCAATTATGACTAACATTTGCTTATTAAATACAAAATGTTTCATATAATTATAAGAATAGCTGACGATGCATATGATATCTCAAAACGGAACTGTTTGATTCAAGAAATCAATATACAACTCAATTGATTACTGATTGATTATAACTATCAATATATTGAAAAATGAAAAATCAAAGAGTTTCAACTCACCTCTGTCATATCATCCGATACGCAAGCCATAGTTAACTATTTTAACTTTTATAAATATATATAAATAGATGAATATATATTGAGCGTTTTCTGGAAATAAAAGTTTGGCTTTGTTAAATATTGCATAAAGTTATCTAAGTTGAAGTCTTATCATCTACAATTCTGATATGATAGAGAACTGATTACAAGTTCTTCGTCATACGGGAAGGAGACGATTACAATTTAACAGTTAAATGAATGAAAGGCATGAAGCTCAAAACTATGGAAAATATTGAAAATGCAAAAAACAATTCAAATCATATCTTTTCATTATCATTTCACATGGCTAAAAACGAAAGTCACGAAAATATTGATGATGTTTTCAATTGGATAAGAGGGAGAGTAAGAGAGAGAGAGAGAGAGGGAGGGAGAAAGCAATGAAGTTACATCACACAGATCATGATCGCTCTGCAATTGGTATCGAGAAAGAGTGAAAAAGAAAAAAGTACAACCGTTCCATGAAGCTCAGAAGTGAATGAATGATTTACGTGAGAATGAGGGAAAACGTGACGCGCACGTAACAACACGTACGTCCAGAGAATGACAATATGAGAAGTAGAACGTGTAACGAAGAACACACATGTATGGTAGATGAAAAAAAAATAAAAAGACTGAATGAGCTTGAAGGTAGAAAGAGTCTGATAAGATAGATGTGTTGATTTTTTTCGTCTTCCCACAAGAGATTATGGAAAACATTGAAAAATTCTTCAAAACCATGAGTGTGATAGCATGAGATGGTAGAGATAATGAATATATCATTTATCAGATTTATTTACATTAGTACATTAGATATAATCTTAGAATAATGTGCTAACTATTTAAAATACTCGAATGATAAGATAGATCTGTATACAGCATGCATATACTCGTTACAAGAGAAAGTGAAAGGCAACTGAATGGTTTCATTGACACTTCGAGGTATATGATAACGAAATGATAATGATGTATAAAACAATAATAATAATAATAATGAATAGTATGAAATATAAAGAAAAAAAATAGGAAAATGTTCAAAACCACAATTAAAAGAGATGCTTGGAATAGATGAGGGAGGAGCCAGATGGCTGAGTAAAGATATGTAGAAAGGGCTGTTATTATGGTTGGTCGTCGATAAGACATGTAGATAACATCTATCATCACTATACGAAGGAAGACGATGAAGAAACTTCACCAAAATTTAAAATAAAAAAAAAAGAAGAAGAAGAAGAGAAAAGAAAGAGAAAAAAAATATTTATTTCATTCATTCAATCTCTCATTTCATCGACGGGGCGATTGTCATTTTGGCGGAGCTACCACCATCACTGGTTGGTTGCTTTGAGCAACAACCAATGATGCTGTTAGACGGTTGAGGCATGGATATGGTATCGTGTAGAGAGTAATCCAAACAAGGAATGCCGGTAAAGCATCTGAGATAATACGACAAGAATGTATCGGTGAAATGATGAAATGATTAAGGTGTGTATTGGAGAAAAATGAAAGATAAACTCTTTCATGTCTTCATTCTCTCTCTCTCTTTCTATTATCACTGATGACAACCCACCCCTCTGGCCCGAAGTATTAAATGGGTCAAAATGTCATTAAAATTACAAAAATGGTGTCCTTAGATAGTTGTGGTAATCATGATAAAAAAGATTGATAATATCATTCATACTATCAAGATTTATATTATATTATATAGTTAGTGTGGTATATTATAAGCAAATTGCTTTATTCTCATTTATACAAACATATTTATATTTCTTTTTTAAAAATAATTTTTGAAATAAAAAAAAATAAAAAAGAAGGAAAATGTTGTGTGATAGAAGAGTAGATTGGAAGAAAGATAGAATCTTCATGAAGGGGAAATGAGCAAAAGCCTCTCTATTGCTTTCTATTGCTTTCCAACATCAAAATATACGGTGAGATATATGATTGAAAGAAGAAATTTAGATAAAAACCAAATTCCAGCAAAAACCTCCCCCCCCCCATCACCACAAGTGAGAAATAACATTGAGAGGAGGAAGAAAAGATACTTTATACAAGTAAACTTTGAAATATATATGAAAAAATAAATAGAGAGAACATCAAGGAACATATCGAATGAGAGAGAGAGAGAGAGAGAGAGGGAATGTGATTGTAGGCATGAAAGATGAACAGAAAATATATTTCAACTCGAGGTTTTCGAATAAGAGAGTAAGAAACATCAGTAAGAGAGAGGGAAACAGAAAGAGAGAGGGAGAGAGAGAGGGAGAGAGAGGGGATGGAACGAAAGCCTGATGGTTAGGAAAAGTCTTTTTGTGAAAGTCAACGAAGATCAAAGTAGCCGATAAGAAATAGGAAAAGCTAGAGCCTCCCAGACTCACCAGCACATTGAACACATGAAATAATATTTTTAAATTTAAAACGAAAAGAATAAATTAAAAGAGATTTATTTATTTAAAATATAAAAAAAGAAATAATTAAGGTCTAGCGATTATCACAGTGCTCTTTCATCAAATTATTTGCTGAAAAACTTTCGATTGATATAGTTTTTCAAGTTAATTATATTAAATTCTATGGTGTTGTCAATCCAGATGTCATCTTCAACAGCTTCTTTTGACAGGATATCCTAAAGAAGTATGTTTACTATGCATCACAAGTACGCTTGTAGCAACCTGGAAATCAAAAACCAAGCTCTTCACAACATTCTTATGATCACAGATATCCATTTGGAAATAACCTTTCTTGTCCGTTTGACTTAACCGAACCGTTAACTTTCCCAACCTTCAACAGATTGCAAATAATCAATATGTGATTAAACTACATACTTCTTTTGATCAGGCAAATTGACAGATGAAACTACTTTTTTCTTAATTAACTTATCTAAGTTAGTCTCTCTGACAGTATAATTGCCCGATGATAAACGTTCTTTCTGAAGTTTACCGGCTACTTCCGTATTTGGTCGGAAAGACATTCTCCTGAAATGGCGATGAATCATTTCAAATTAATCATATGATTGTTTTAGGAATAGTCATGATACTCTTGTTTGGGTCTTTCTATGCTCAGTCTCAAGGCAAACAGAGAGAGGGAAAATAGGAAAAAAAAAGAATTTTGAAGATCTCACTTGGCAGTTCTTCCCAAGTTATCCAAACAAGTGTCCAAATATTGAGCATAATCCTGCAAACGGGAGCTAAGTTCTTCTCGTTGGGCCTGGAAGACAAAAATCTTTTGTGGACCGCAAAAACTGCGTTTTGTTCTACTTCGAGCTTCTCTTCCGTTTGGAGCAAACATTTCTTCAAATCTCCTCTTTCTTTCCTTCTTCTGGTCGTCAATCTGACATCCTGTAGATCGAGATAAGCTGTTATTGATGAAAGGACAAGCTTACATTAGCTATGTCCGTAACAATGCTCTGATGCCCATCTGTAAATGAAGTTCTTCCAATAGTATGCAGTTCTCTAAGACCTTTCTCAATCAAAGCTTGCTTCTCTTTCAAAGATATACTGAAATAAGGAAGTTATAAGAGTTCAAGAAGCATTCTTACTGTTCTGGGTTGTAAAAGGAGTTATAAGCTTTCAAAACTTCATCAGAAGGCTCAGCTGCGATCAATTCCTCGACTGAGCTTCCGGGAAGACCAGAAAGCAGTAAATCAACAACGAACTTCTTCGTCCTTAATTTATATGATAATTTTTTGTTTTTCATTTCTCAAACTTTATGAATATTTCCTGTTTAGCAGTTCGATTCTCATCTAACCCTCTCATTGGTTGAAGCTGAAGCGCTATGTATTTCTCATCCGTCAATCGTGTTGGAGCAGAGCAATTGGCGATGAGATTGTGAAGTTGCATACCCGTGCCCGGAATAATCTGAACAGCCAATGAGTAAGGTATTCCAAATAGATGAACAGACCACTGGAGCATTTAATTTTAAATACTTCAGGATTGTTGTGAGTTGTTTTTCTTTTAAACACAGAGTTGGTTTGTGAGCAGGATCGAAGTGAGTGAATTCATTTAATCCATAAATGTCCTCAAACGTTATGTTGTCAACTTGCTTCCTCACGAAGCTCCTTAAATGGATTGTTGGATGTGAAAGTGTAAATGAAGATTCTTACGTGAACTTCTCGTTTATTATGTGAATGTCCTTATTGAGAACACTTAAATAATATTGCGAATTTCCATACTGAATATGGACGTGAATAAGTAAAGATGCTACTTATGGTCTTACCCCTCGGTTCTTAATTCCAAATCCAATGAATTGAATAAGAGCTTCGAGAGCATGAGTTGATGTTTCATTCAAATCGATTTTGGCTGATCGTTGAATGCTCTTCTTAGATATCAACAGTGGATGGAAGTAACACTGATAGAAAATATTAATTAAAGTTTCAAATAACAGTCAAGACTTACTTCGAAAATGAAAACTGAAATTATTCGATCCAATTCAGATCTTGAGGTTGTTGGGAACTGTCGAATGAGAATATCATTAAGATAAGCTGTCAGATAGAGGATTCTCTTCCTGAAATGGAATTTTCTGTCATGAAAAGATACAGTCAACCTACGGGAATTTGTAGTTCTGGATAAGAGCATCGACGATTTTCTCACTTTTCTCTGATAGAAATGAGATGGAATTGTCCAGAACCTATATAATGACATGGAGATAGGGTTGAAACTGGTTTGATACCTCTTTGACTATAGGCTTGTTCAGTAGTTCCTCAATAGGAATATCATCACGAGTATCAGCAAGGATAGTTCGAGGATTGAGATTGAAAGCAAAGTTCTCGTTCACTTTGGCTACCGTTTCGATAACTTCTTTGATGGCAGTTGTTGGATCTTGATCTGATACACTTAGCATACTGTAATCACACTCATAACTTCCATTTAAATATAATTATGAGCATACTCGTTGGTTAAAACACTTTTCATAAAAGGAATGTCCTTTGAGCTGAGAATGCCATCTGAAGAGCTGGACTTTTCCACGTTTCTAAGTATGAGTTCACATAACAGCTTGACCTGTAAGCAATCAAAGATTTGATTTCTCAATATAGGTATATCTACGCACCAATAGAAACTCTTCTCTCTTATCCGTAATGAATCCAAAGATAGGAGCAATACAGTCAGAAATGATGTTTACTCCGTCAAAGTCTCGACGTTCATCTGTTAATCAATTGAGTTATTAAGGAAACTCTGTTTGAATAAGTACCGGACTGAATGAGGTTGGCCAAGTATGCAGAATCAGCTTGTAGATGATACATGAGTTGTTCTAGTTTCTCCTGCTGATCTCTTGCCTTCAAGAGTTTTTATAATTATCACATCTCTTTCATTGCTCTCACCTTCTTGCGAATGCTAGCTGGCCTAGTACGGAAATTATCGTTCTGATCCGAAATCTTGTTTTTGTGTTCAATAACATCCTGAAAGGGCATGAAGGTTTTTAAATCATATCGTAACAGAGTGCTAACTTGTAAATTCAGACGGTTTCTAACTAACAGTCCAATTTTGGTATCCAAGTCTTGTAAGGAGCCATCTAGTTGTTGATTTGAAACACGAAGATGCCATACTTTCGATTTCAAATGCTCCAAATCTGTTGTAGTAAGATAGTGAGATGAGTTGTAATGAACAAGAGTTACCTAACTCCTGTACCAAATCATCTTCCCAGTTCTGTAGAGCTCCAACGAACTTGCGGACTAGTTCAAGAGAAGGATTGTCTTCAGATCCTAACAACAGAGCATATACATAAGATGTGTGAACTAGTGCACAAACGTAGTTTATTCTGATCCTGTCTATCCTTGTATTTCTTATAATTGTGTTGAATCTTCTTGGCGGCATCATCCTGACGTAGTTGTTCAGCTAATGCTTCCTTATTCCTTTAATAAACATATTATATAATATAAAATGATATCATTATCATACTTTTTGTTTCGTAAATATCGTCTGAGAATTTGTTGTGATTTTCTGACTTTATCCTCCTCATCCTCATAATGCTTTTCAAAATTAGCATTTTCATCATCAATTATATTCTGAAAATGGAATGAAAATGAAAATAATCTTCAAATCAATCAATGATAACGTTCAAAGTCGAATGGTTTTGAAGAAAAATGATGCATTTTCGTTACTATTTGTTCAAGATTTATGGTCAAGTTTAAACGCGTGATAATACATAAAGAACACAACGGCTAAAGCCATTCCAACCGCTCTCTGCTTTTTGAAAATGAAAAAATGAGAAAAGAAGAAAAAAAAATTTTTTTTTCTCTCTCTTTTGCTTGTTTATCAAGTCACGTACAGACTTGACGTAAACCCTAATGCATGTATATATGAACTATTGATTGATTTTACTTTATGTAAATATATTTTTTAAGCTTATTGATCTTAAAGTTTAATAAACCTGTATCTGTTTGGAGTTGATGATGGATGCATCGATGTTATGTCGACGTGTTGTCGTTTTAATGAGTTCAGTTGTCTCAACATATACATAACCATAACTGAATTGCTCACATATCCATAGCTCATCGGCAACGGCTGGCAGCTTAAGATATGATGTATATGGAAAGTATGTGACAGATATGTTACTTCGTCTTTCTTTCTTATATCCCCTTCAGCTATTAATCGATTTACATACCAGAAGATTAATTCTTGACGATAATTGGAAAAGTCTGTCGAGGTTACAAGTCCAGTCAGATTCAATCTGATTTTACTTGAATTGTGTTTTTTTATAGCTTTATTCAATCGTAAAACTATAAAATGAGATGTTTTAGCTTTAAATAATAACAATGACATACCAGCATCAGCTCGGGCAAATGCTTCAACAGTCTTCTCATTAACCAGCTTCACACCTTTCACCACATCTTCTGATGATTGTGGAGGATTTTGATTTAACTTATTCAGATAGTATTCTACAATATATATTTGAATATGAATAGTAGGAAAAGGATATATGAACCGAAATTCTCTTCAATGTAATTGGAGCCACAAATCTGACGAAGGATCTCTTTGATGATCTCATATTCGTTTCGTTCAAGCGAACTTTTCAGTTCCATTACTTAAATGAATTACTTGAGATATAGTTTCATTGCTTTCAATTACCATTTCGATGTTCAGCTGTTAGATTCTCAAACTCGAAGATGACGTTATCAAGCTCAGAGCGATTGAGGAAAAATTCCGGTTCAGTTTTCTCATACAGGTATCGGAGTCTTTGATCAAAGAACGATTAGTTTAGATGTTTTCATGTTTAAACCTGTTATAATAGAGCTTAGCGTTTTCTTCTTTTGGTTTGAGCTGAAGACAAGGGTTTTGTAAAGCGTTGAAAACATCAGCGGAGGAGCCTTGTTGAACGAAAAGCTTAACTTCGGCCAAGGCATTGGCAACTATAAGAATTGAATGAAGATTAGAAGAGGAAAGAAGAAAAATGTTTTTACTTGTTAATAACTCAATCAGCTCATTTCGATTCAATTTTTTGTTCTCCGATGACTTTTTAAATGAAATAGTTGAAAGATAGAGAGGAATTGCAAATTCTCGAGTCTGAAAATGACATTTAGTGAATGAGGGAAGTATGATTGTAAGATGAAGCTGAATAAACCTGCTCAAATTGTAGAAGATCTAATAAGTAAAGAAGTTTCTTTGAATCACTTGATTGATTTTCCATTAACAAGTTAATCTCATCAATAGCATAGACATCTTTAGAAATAGAGAATAGATGAAAGCTTTTAAGGAAGAAAGCTGCTTACTATTTGTTTCAGAGATGATCAATTGAATTTCTTGTTTACTCAACATCTCATTTGGCTTTTTAGCTTTTACCAAATTTTTCAAATAACCGTCCGACAAATCCTTCTCAACATGTAGAATGCCAGCATCAGCATCATGTAATGCTGTCAGAAGCTGTTCAGCGTCCTACAAAATATTATTTTTAGATTGAAAAACACTTTAAAACGGTAATTATACTTGATTATCAATTTCTTTATTAATCTTCTGTATGGCAATTGCAACAGCTTTCTCATCTGTTGTCATATTTGATAAAAATCCATCAACATCACCAAATTCTGGTAGCTTAGACTCATTTACTTTCACTTTCATTTCATCCAATTCATTTTCTGAAACAAGTTCATTTCATGTAACATATTATATAATAATTATATGAATTACGTGTAAATACAGCTTTTCCGGCCAAATTACGCATCCGAGGAGCTTTTCGTAATCTGTAAAGCAGTGTTGCCAAGGCGTACAAACAGAAAATTGTTTTAATATTCCTTCCTTCGAACACATCTACCGTCTCCGGAATGAAAATCTAGAATAATTAGAAAAAAAACTGTTTTTGTTTCAATTTTTATGAGATTGTATTACTTCCGGCAGATGGACGCTCCTCATGGCGTTTATCCATAACATGATGTTATCGGTGTGTCGATAGACGGGAATATGCTCATTGTTCTCATACTTCTCCTTCAAATTACATATAATGAGATTGATTTGGATGTTTAATGCTGCCTTACTTGACTGATATCATATATGGCTTTTGTCGGAACGAGATTTGATGCAAAAAAATTTGACAAACGAGCTAATATAACTCCATTTCGAAAATTTTCTTCTAAATCAGTGACGGTGGCGACTGATTCATCTTGCAGACAGTCAATTAACCAGCTTAATCAGCAATTTTATATAAACAGAAAATGATGAGTGTGTATGAAATACCTTCGAACTTCTAAAAGACGACAAAGATATTCATAAGCTTTTCGATGAAGCCGTCGTTCATCAATATCTTCTACAACATCATCATCCTTTCTATCATCCATTTTCTATAATCATACAGGTGTGAATGAAATAATAATAAAAAAATTAACAAAAGAAGAGAATAAGAGGAGAAAAAGGCAGAAAAAGAGAGAATTCAATATGAAACATACATACAACACACACACAAAGGGGGAGGTTGGAGAGAATGTTGGACGACATGTCACAAACGGAGGGAGGGTGGTGTTGGTTGGTTGTGTAGAGAGGGAGGGGGGGGGGGGAAGATGAGTCAACATCAGATTAAAATTCACAAAAAAAAGAACGGAAAAGCTCAAGTAAAAGACTAATTTTTCTTAAGAAAAGTTAATTGGACTGAGCATGAGAGAGAGGGAGGGAGAGAGAGAGAAAGTGAGAGAGAGAGAGAGAAAATAAAAAAGAAAAAAGAAGTTTTAAAAGACGAAATCAATAAGTGAGTGTGAGAATACAAGTTTCAACTGACAATATCATCATATCTCCTCCTATATTTGAATAGTTTTAAAGACTTTTTGTGTTTATTTTGAACAATAAAATTCCATTTAAAACTTCAATCATAGCAGGAGGTAAGAAGATGAAGCAGAAGATGAAACACAAAAAATAATAATTTCAAGCCTTGATGGCGACAAATTCAAGATAAAAATCAATAAATTTCATTATCAAAGTTTCCAAATTTATCAACAGATTAGAGAGGAAAAAAAACATTGTGAAACAATAAAATAATAATTAAAACAACATTTGATTAAGCTTATTCAAGCTTTTTCTCATCTGCGCCACAGACACAACTCAAACGTAATTGAGGTTGGAAGGTTGTAGGGTAGATAGAGAGAGGAAGCTGAAGAAAGGTGGAAGCGGAAGATAGAAAATGATTGATAGAGAGTAAGAGGTAAGAATAGAGAGACAAAGAGAGGGAGAGAGATAGAGAGAGAATGGAGGGAATGAGGTTTCTAAACAACAATTTCCGTATATAACTAGGTAACAATAGAAATAGAAAAATGACTGACCAACAAACAACTTTTAACTGGAAAGACAACAAGAAGAAGTCTGAGTGGACACTCTCAATCTCCTCCCATAATTCTCTTTCGGTTTTCTCTTCTAATCTTCACACAATCGCATGATGTCTTTTAAAGAAATTTTTCATGAGGCAAAAAGGAATAGAGAGAGAGAGAGGGAGAGAGAGAGAGAGAGAGAGAATGGGAAACAGAAAAAAATGAAATGAGGAAAATATGAAAAAAACAGCTTTGTGGGTGTGTGTATGCGTGTGGTAGCGTCTGACGCAACATGATCTAAAAAAAGCCGAAACCAACCGCTCTGCTTGTTGTCATGATGTCAAAATGAGTAAGTACAATGTATCATACGAGTTGTCTCACGTGTGTTTCACGTATGTATATATATAATTAGAATATTTATAATAGTTAAAGCTCTCATATCAAATGTATCATTTGGGAGGTGAGAAAGGGGGGGGGGTTGGAAGTTGTTGATGAGGGATGATTGGCTCTAATCAATGATATGGATGAATAGGCTTTTTACAAACAGAGTTATGCAATGGTATAGCTAAGAATCCGGCTATATTGGTTCCAATTGCATTTCCTAAGGTTGTGATAGAAATGGAATATTCACGAATATCTGGTTCAATCTATAAATATATAATATATATATTAACTATACATATAATATATAACAAACCATTTTATGAATCTTATTATATGTATTAACATATGCTGAGCCTCCAAGCAATCCTTCCAGTATAATTAAGACGAAGACGATGGAAATATGCGGTACAAACCAATATATGGCTTCAAATAGGAAAAATATCATATTTGACATCTGTAATAATTAATTTTTTTGTTTTTGTTTATTTTAATAATCATTTTGTGTTACTTGAAGAACTGGAAGGATGTAGATGGCCCACATGGGTAGTTCAAACACCTTGACAGATGATCTAGATAGGAATACACCTACTTGATATAAACTCTATATGAATCATTCAGTATACAAATATATAATTAGCACTATTAACCTGATACCAACGATATTGACTGCTGACAGCCAAGTTAAATCCATTCTTGCAATCAAACATAATGAGCTCCGTCTAAACATATTATGATGAGGATGGAAAATGAATATGAATAACTAACCAATCCTTGGTTGATAAGATATTCTCCCATATAAACCAATGCTAATGGAACCATAAACTTCAACAGTGGCTTAAAAGAGAATTTTGTTTCATAAAAAGAGTTTTCATATTCGCTTACCACAATTAGGAAAAGCTTCTCTTTCAGACTCAGATCTCTTTGTGGAACACAGAGTGGACGAGACGTGGAAGGATCATCGTCTTTGCCGTCTTCATCTGCGGAACCACTACGTTCCATCTGAAAACTCGTGTTCATGATTTGTTTGAAGTATTGAAACTTACTCTCTGAGCCAAATAGTTTTTGGGAATAAGCCATGTCTTTGGTGAGAGAGTGGGAGTATATACATCTTCCGGAAAATCGAGGATGAACCAGTACCTAGAGAGAGAGAGAAGTTGTTGAATAGATTATTCAGAGGTTAAGACTTACGTTATAGCAAAGACGACAGGAATAAACAACATGCAAAGAAGAGCAGTTTTTGGACTCATTTTTCCAACATGATCATCAGTCATTAATGCATAAGCGAAAGATCCAATTAGACCGGCTCCTCCTGTTCCAGACGACCATGCAGCAATGGTTGAGCTGAGAAAGAGTTGCATGTTATCTTTTTTGCTATATAGTTTATCTTACGATGGGAAGAAGCTGGATAAAGCCAAATAAGTAATTTCTCCAATACCCTGACTAAAACTGGCTAATGTGACCCCTGGACAACGATAATTATTCTTTGAAGTTATAAATGATAATGAAAACCTGTTAGTGATATAGCAACACTTGGAGAGAAAGCTACCAAGAAATAACAAGCAATTTGGAGTGCAATCACGATTGTATGACGAACACTTAAAATGAAATTAAAAATTAATAAAATGAAAAAATCTAAAATTCGTTACCCAAAAGGTATGCGATGCATGAAAAATGGGAAAGTAGCTTGTACAAACAAAGCTGGAAGGTTATCTGCTAATAGAACTGCTCCTGTAGAAGCAGACGTACATCCACGTGAAGTAATGTTAGCCTAACATGATGCTTATGATATACAGATTCATCTTAGAGTTACTAACTGTGCATGTATCTACTGTAGTCGAATTAACCCCTTTCTGATTGTTCATGATATCCTCAGCTGCACTAAGCATAATGACGTATCCATAGTTGTTACATAGACCCAGAAGCCTATAAAGATATGTTCAACCCATGATAGAGAGATTCAGATGATCAAAATTGAAATGAAAGAAAAAGAAATTACCAGAAGCCGATAAGGTTTCGAACAAGCGTCTTGTTCATTTCCAAGTCTGAAACATAGCATATGAAGCAAAGAACAGATGATTCTCATACAACACTACAGTAGCAACACGATTATAGGAGATTATAGGTTTTTCAATCTTTATTAATAATAAAAAAAAGGTTTAAAATAATTGATGAAGAAAAGAGGATTGGTCGGGTTGTTCTTGTCTACTGATAACAACTTCTCTTCTAAAAGAATTCACAAAGACGGAAATATAGAAATAGCAGAGAGATGACTAAAGGCGAAACACTGCTTCTCCTTCTTCAGTCTCCTTGTTTCATTATACATCAAAAAGTTTTTTTTTCTTTTTTTTTTTTTTTGTTGTCAGAAAGGAAATGATTCCATAGATGGAGACACGTTACACTCCAGACTACTCCTATTGTGGATTGAAAAAAGTAATTTAATTATTAAAATCATATCATTTACAGAATTGTCTTTTATATCAATTTTGTTATCTTTCGACTACGATGTTCACGGATATCTTCAACTCTTACAACAGTTTATCACATCTGACATGAATGAATCATATTCTTGGCTTCCGTTTCATTTGATATAACGTACAATAGAATGAACACACACATATACATTATCTTATACACATGATTAAGCCCGTAAGATCATTTAGATTACTTTCATTTGAACTTTAATCAGTTTCTTCCTTTTATAAGTTATGCGTTGGCATTTTCATTCCACACACCCAGTTATGTAATGGAATAGCTGCAAATCCAGCAAGATTTACACCGATTGAGTCACCAACAGTTGCTATTGAAAGACAGTACTCACGAATATCTGGTTCAACCTATAAACAATCAAATTTGTAAGCTTTATCAAGTAATTGATCTATCAAACCGTTTTATGAATACGATTGAATGTATTAACATATGATGATCCTCCTAATAATCCTTCAAATATAATCAAAGCAAAAATGATTGAGATGTGAGGTATGAACCAATAGATGGCTTCGAAAAAGAATAAAAACATATTTGAAAACTGAAAAGGAGTTTATCTTCTCTCTTAAGTGTCTCTCTTAAGCAAACCTGTAAAATTGGTAAAAGATATAGAAACCATTGAGGTAATTCAAATAATCTGACTGATGATCTCGATAGAAAGACTCCTAGTTGATATAAAACCTGTTAGATGTTTATGTTATTATTGTATAATTAGCATAATTAACCTGATACCACCTATATTGACTAGCTAATGTTAACCCGAATCCTCTATGACAGTTGAATACTATCATTTGAGTCTAAAATGTAACACAAAATGATTATTTGATATTTTAAAAGTGATGTACCAATCCTTGATTGATAAGATATTCTCCAATATATACAAGAGATACGGGAATCATTAAATGAAGTAAAGGCTGTAATATATATAATTATATCTTTAAATCTTTTACTTCCTCTTACTTTCACTAATACTACTCGTTCAATGAATGTAAGCTTCCTTTGTGGCACCCGTTGAAGGTTCTGAGGCCGATACTCTGACTCTTCACCCTGCGTCTCAAATATTTTTTTGTCCTTAAATTGATTGAATCAATAGTTTTCTTTTGTAAAGTTATTCACGTGATCCAATGGAACTATCCATGTCTTTGGATTCCAACCTGGTGTGTAAACCTCATCTGGAGGTGATAAGACAACATAATAACTGAAAAATGATATTTCTCTCAGGTGTTGTCGCAAGAACTGACATTACAAGAAAGACCGCGGGTATGAATGATTGGATTAAAAGTGCGACTTTTGGTGATAAGTTTCCCATGCTTGGTTCTGTTAAGAAAGCGAAAGCAAATGATCCGATTAGGCCGGCACCACCGGTTCCCGAAGCCCACGCCGCAATGGCTGATCTAAACAGTTCATTGTAGCCGCAAAACACCAAGTATAAACAAACGATGGAAAGAATGACGATAAACCCAAATATGTTATTTCTCCAATGCCTGATGCTAAACTACCCATGGCTACACCAGCTAGTGACATGGCTACATTGGCCGAAAAAGCTACAATGAGGTATGAAGAAGCCTGTAGTGCGCACACTAGAATATGACGGAAACTGTAAGAAAGATAGTAAGAATTAAAATGATAAAATAAGAGAATAACCCAAATGGAATTCTGTGCATGAAGAAAGGAAAAGTTAATTTGCATATCAAACTTGGCAGATTGTCAGCAATTAGTACAGCGCCAGTAGATTTTGATGTGCAATGGCGATTATCCAAATGTTCCTAAACCATAGTATACTCATTGAAGTTATGTCTATTCATATTACGAAGCAATGCTTTGTAGCATTTGATGCAGGTTTATGTTGTTGATCATCCATGATATCCTCAGCTGCACTAAGCATAATGACGTATCCATAGTTGTTACACAGTCCGAAAAACCTACATGAATGAAAAAAACCTGATTAAATGATTATAAAAAACGAACCAAAAGGCTACAACGTTCCGTATCATAAGCCAATCAACCTTACGCTTGTTCATTTCCTAAACAATAACATTTCATATTCTTAATTATTTTGTTCATTTTGAATATATATGATGATGATTAGAAGCTTATTATTAAATATAATTAATCATTAATACAGAGTGGGGGATTGGCGAACGAATAGATTCTCCAAATGATTTCTGTGTTGGAAACTTTTACAGCGAGAAATACACATGGTCATTCCTCTGATAAGGCAATGTAAAGAAAAATGTACCGTATAGTCAGTAAAGTCATTCACAAATTTTTTAATATCCTGTAAAATCATTGAAAGTTATCATGTACATTTCATTTGACAAAATTATTGCTTTCGTTGTTCATATGTTCACTTTCCAAGTTTTCCGAGTACTACATTCTTTCAAAGCTTCCTTCTCTTTTATAATCTCTATGATTCATTGCACCCATTCTTATCTATTCTTCATAAATCAAACTTGAAAACAGGTTCTTCACACTGCCTCTGAAGCGCGCTATCTTGAATTGTCTTTAAATTTCGTTTAGTGTGGGGATATAGCTCAGTGGTAGAGCGCTCCCTTAGCATGGGAGAGGGCTGGGGTTCAATTCCCCATATCTCCAAAATCTTTTACATTTTCTATAAACAATAAACTAACATGAGGTACAAATATGGTTTTGAATTACCCGCTCATCCATTTCAGAACGAAAAGTTTGTTTCATTTTGATCGGACTGTTGTATGAAGAGCGGTTGCATTCAATCCTCCCGCTGTGCTCTTTCATTCATACTTTTTATAACTTTTGTGTGCAGTATTTAAGTAATCACCAATCCTCGGATGACCTGACAGATTTTCCATTTACATAAATGACCCCTCTTATGCCATTAAAGGATTAACAAGATCGGAAAAGAATATCAAAGGAAACTCTTAACTATAATGTTCTGCAAAATGTTAATATATCTCCACAACAGTATATTCTATTCAGATATCCAGTTATGCCATGAAGTAAGTGTTACCCATACTCTTCTATCTATTTGAACCTACTTTTTCAGGAGTTTTCTAATTATCATTGTTTCATTTTTCATCCAAGAAAATTCTGCACAGATAGCTGGTTCTCTGAGCAATAAGAATTCTGCTACTCCTCCTAAATCAATTGAACCATTAAGCAACAGTCAGCTTTTGTTTTTAAATACAGTAACGAATGTTCAGCAGCCTGGTATAGCTTTCAGCGTATTTATGAATAAGTATGAGGTTTACAGGAGTTCATGCCTCCAAAGACCTTTACGCCTTCACGTCAAATCAATCTCCTCGTATAACTCACCAAAATCTGCGAGAACTTGACTGGACCAAAATTGATAGAAGATCGGAAGAAGGTTTCACATAGATATCATTTCAAATATCAGAAACATACATTCTAGGTTGGTGGCATTTATATCCATACGGTGAAAGATATTTCGACGATGAGTTATCTCATCGACCATGGATGGACAAACAGATTGATTTAGAATTTTTTCTACCATATTATGGCTTTCGCTTCAATTATACATTTGTATGACCTTTTATGTTTTTTTATATTCATATCTGGATGGTTTAGATTTTCCAAGAAGGGTTTGTTGCTTTCTCTCATCCATGGTATATTCAACCTCCGTATACCTTCCCGAATCCCCATTGGCCGAAAAAGCCAGATCCCAGTTTGATTGCTGTAAGTTCAATATATTAAATGAAGATTGTAGATGTTCGTATAGGTGTTCATGGCGGAACAACAAATGCAACACGTAGGAGATACGCGCATCAGTAATGTTTGGTTTCGAGTAATAGAAAGGTTTTGCTACCACCTAAAATATGTTCTAACTTTATAATATAGACCGACTAATTTGATTGGATATAACAACTTGCAAACAGATTTCGTTGATGAGAGCAGAGAGCCCAGTTTACAACAACCTCTAGGAGTGTACAGCTATGAAGATCCTCGGTAAGGCTGTGATTGAAAAAACATCATAGGAAAGCATTTAAGATTGTACCGGACGTATCGGGGGAGACAATTGAAAACACAGTCTGGACGTTTGGAAGATCCTGAATTACTGGATAGAATAACTCGGTAGTTTATTCTTATATATACAGTAATCTTTCATTCGAATGATCTCAGGGATATTCGTCATTCTATGGTCGGAGCAAGAGGTTGGAAAGCTGATTATGCTCTACTAGTTACATGGGAACGAATGAGTTATGGAGGAGCACCAAAAATAACTGATATGAGCAAATATGAACAAGCAAAACGATGGGTGCGGTTCAGAATTTCTTAATTGGATATCCCATACTGATTTATTCAGCAAAATACTTATCAAATGGTGTTGGCTACAGATGAAATAAGAACGTACTGTATGTTCAATTATGCGAATATCAACTGGACTTCGTCATCTCAAAGTGGAGCTTTAACTAGAGGACGTGGTGGTAAACAAAGTGCTCTGGTAATAACATTTCAAAACTAAGTATCTGTAGTTTGGTTTAGGTTGGGTTCAATGGTGGTAATGGAACAGGATTTTATTCTTTGCCATTCTCAGCAGAAGGAGACTCTTATAAATTGGTTCGCTTTGGTTCAACTCAAATAGCAGGACGTTGGCTAGCTCGTGTAGATGAGCAAATTCAGTATGGAGGTTGCAATAATGACAGTAGAGGTATACAAATAATGAATACTACGAAATGAACGAGCATGATATAGGAACATTGGAAACATCTCAACAATACGGAAATATGTTGGGAGGATTTGCGTTGAACATATCTGGACCATGTTTGAGACCGACTGATATTATAAAACTGCAATTTGATGAAATAACATTAGATTGTGAAAGGGTATGATGCTTTTGGACTTCTGATTAGCTTTTGAAATACTCAGATTGATATGGTACTTGCTCGATGTGTAATTCCTGTTAACAGTGTTTTCAAAATTGGATTGATTGATCTGAAGATGTCAGTGGATGGTGGCAAGAATTACCCTTGGTGGACAAAGTTTTATATAAGTGAGTCGTTAACATTTGTAATTTCGAACAACAAGCATTGAAGTTCAACCTGCTCTATCTCGACGACGTGTGAATCTCATAAACGATCCGAGAGAGCCGATGAACAATTGGCATTTCTTTGATCCCCAGGTTTTTTCCCGCGTATGATATGATGAAAATTTTGTAAATTAATTTCAGAATTTGACTTTATCATGGGAATGGGAAAATATAACAGCAAATCCAAATACTGCTGTGGATATAGCTTTATGGGGATACTGGGAAGATACAGAAGGACATTCTTTCAAGCAAATTGGATACTTGGCTCGACGTCACCCTAACAATGGAATATTCTCATTCACCCCGAACACCCTTCAAGTGAGATCATTTATGTAGAATTGCACTTAACTCAGCGTGTTTTCAGTTTGATCTAGAAGGAGATTTAGATGCTTGGAGGTTTTATCATGGTGGAGTCATTCAAGTACGAGCCACAGATGCTTGGTTGGATGATCGTGGGGATCGAATGCACTGGTCATCTCCTGTGCCTTTCGGATGGTTTTTCCATAGAAAGTGGCAGTATGAGTATGGGCGAACTTGGGCACTCACAGTAAGAAAAAGTTAAGTTTTTGTAGTGTAAATACTTAAAGATGTGCCAACACTGGTTCGATTACGATGGACGTCGAGAAAATTTTGTGATGGAATTAGAACCAAAGAGTTGAGGATTGAAAGAATTCTGAAAATAAGCAAAAATTCTTTTTAGTTCCTTGTCCTTGCACTCTTGATCAAGCTCTTCTGGATTTCGGTCGCTTTACAGCTTTGCCGGATTGTGATATGTTTGGAGATCACACTTGCTATTTTAATCAAGGAGCTCAACACTGTATTTTGTCTTCAGCCAGTGTGTATGTTTAATTGTTTTGGAAGAATGTTGAAAAAATTTAAATTTTTAAGCTGGACTGGATCAGGGCAGACATGTTGTTATGATTATGAGGGATGGCTTATGTTTAGCGATGACTTCGAGTATAACGATCAATATTTAAGATTTTTCTCAGCTGGAGTACCGTACAGGTGAAAACCAGGCAAAGCAATTGAAATGAAATATATTATAGAGCTCATCCGTTTGGATCATTGCCTTATAAGAGACCTCCATATGTCCCATCGTTATCCAACTTTTATAATGATTTATTACCTTATGAGTTTTGCTGTAAATGGGCAGGTCATTGTGAATTTTATTTTTGGAGAAGACAAACTTCAACTTGTCAAGAATACAGACCCCCTTCAATAGGTATGAAACTGAATGAAAATCTAATGAGACACATATTAATCAGGCTTCATATATGGAGAAAATCATTTTGTGACGTTTGATGGGGCACGATACTCTTTTCATGGAAAAGGCTATTATGTATTGGCCATGATGAAGTCTCCTAGACACGATTTAATGATTCAAGCGAGGATGGAACAGCCGGCAGAAACAATTTGTAAATTTTAAGCATTAAATCGATGAATTTATTGAGCATGTTGTTTAGGGGAAGAGAGAGTCCGTTCTACTGTAGTTACCGGTGTAGCAGCTCGTGACAACCAATCTGCTATCGTTCAAGTTCGTTAACTGTTTTTCCTCCTATTACATATGATATTGGATTAGGTTTTTGCTCGAAAAGATCATCGACGTTGGAGATATAAGACAGACGTTTACGTAGACGGTATACGCATATTCTTCGATATGCCTTGGAAGAAAATTCAAAATTTTAATGGTTTTGGGTTTACAAAGAGAAAAAAATTTTTTAATTGTTAAGGAGTAACCATACGTTCTCCACCTCGAAATATGAATCAGTCTGAAGTGGAAATTATGTTCGCAACGGGTGTTGGGCTGAAAATTGAGGAAAGCCGTGGTCTTTTGAATGTTATGCTTACATTACCACCTTCATATAATGAAACTGATGTGGTAAGAGTGTCGTTACACTCATCTGAGAAAGCATGTTGTTAAGAGAGCATGGGATCCACCAAATGAATCAGCGTTTTTCTGGGAGACAACAACACAGCGTCCAATTTATTCGAGCAGTTTTGGTAAATGTGCAACTCATTATCGAACTGTTGGTCTTCTTGGTATTGACATTCTACTGATTCTAAGTGATATTAATAATAATATATAGGAACTTATAACGGAGATCCGTGGGATGACTTAACAACGCCCGATTGTATGGAAATCCGTTCTTTCTATCCTCAATCGGAAATGGATGCTCGCAACGTCTACTATGAATTCGGAGAACGATGTTGAGAACATTTTTTTCTTCTTGTTTGACAAATAGATTACATTTAGGGAGATTAGATCGTAATTTGCATATTCCATCGTTGTTTCAAGCTGAACATAAGCCCATATACGATCCATTGAGGTATAGAAAATGAGATAATTATAATATTATGTGAGTTATAGCTTTGCTGATTCTCGTTACTCTCCTGTGTTTGATCCATGGACATATTCTAATTATAGTCTCTGGGAGAGTTTAGTTTTTAGTAGAGAAGAAGTAAAAGTAAGTTTTTGTTTACCACTTTAGCTCAGATCTACTTTATGGGTTTTCTACAGGTAATGTGCCAAGGCGTTCCTGCATGCGAATTTGATTTCATGTTGACGGGTAGACGAGAAGATGCTTTAGACACATTGGATTATGAACGGAAATTCGAACAGCGTAAAACCAAAGGAGAAGTAAAACGTATAGTTTGAAGGCATAACCAATTCTTTGTTCATTCATGTGAACATTCAGTACAATCTTGCGGACCATTAATGAAAAATAAGGGAGTTATCAAGTATCCCATGGGCAATAACTATCTGCATGGTATCACTGTCACCTTTACATGCAAACCAGAATACTTTCTTCATGGAGATCAACAAAGGTATCTTTACATCAAGCTTAACCTTTAAATATGAAGAATATCTCTTTCAGAACATGTATAAATGGCTCATGGACTCCTGGCTGGTGGCCGTGGTGTCGAGGTTTGTTATTTTGATTATTTCTGTCAAATCAAAACAAAACATCATTAGAACGAAGTGAAGAAATCGCTTTAAAGTGGATGACTGGTATACTGTCTTCTGTAGCAATTATACTTGCTATCACTCTCATATTCGTCTGGTACTCAGATACATAACTTTATAATTAATATTATAACAACATTCAGGTGTTACATTGATGGTAGAAGACGGCAAACAGAGTTTCTTCAACGAAAAAAAGAAAAATTACGACCAAGTTACGCTACATCAACAATAACATTCATCTAATATGCTATTTATGCTCTTTTGAACGAAAAAAAAATAAAAATGAAAATGTTTCTGTTGCTGTGCTATGATTGATATGTACAAGCGGAAGAAGATGCCTTGTAGCACAACCGCTTCATGCGTTCACAGATTGAAAATGTTTTTCAAAACTCACGTAAGTGACGCATAATTAGCATTTCAAAGTTAGTTTGGCTTGTCCAGGAATGAAAAAAAAATGTTTGAAAAGCTCAAAAATCAAAATAGTCTATTATTCGTTGTCTCATATAATCATTATGTTAGCATAGTTTATCTATCATCAGCAGTTGTGACACATTAACATATTCCTTGAAAATACGAAATAGTTCTCAAGAAAATAATACATTTTTCCTCACGTAGCACATGAAAAATATGAACAAAAAAGGAAAGAAAAGAAAATATGTATTAACCTTGCTATTATTGAATATAATTTTAATAAAATAATATGTTTTTCGCTACTTTTTCAGTTTTCAAACTTTCTTTTTGTTTCAGAGAAAAATGAGAAAAAAAGCAAAATGTCTGCAAGTTGTCGGTTACATTTCTCAAAAATTAGAAAAATTCCTTTTTTTTCTACTTCTATTGCCTTTTATTATATTCTTTTGAGATTCTTTTTCTCTTTTGCTCATTCATCTTCTCGGTAATTCTTTCCCTCTCTCTCTCTCTCTCTCTCTGTTCATCCATCTCTCTATCTACCGTCATTTCTCGCTTTTTATCTCTATGAACCTCTTTATGAGAGATGAATATTATTCGGTTTATTTAGTTTTCTCACATCCTTTTCAAGAAAATTTTTGCTTAGAACTAGGCAACCGCCTTCTTCTGCGCAGCTCTTCTCTTCAACCACAACCCCCCCCCCCCCTTCTCCCTCCTCTTTCTCCCCGGGCTCTCATCGATCCAGCCTACTCCATTTTCTATATTTTCTCGTTTCTGACTCTCTTTCTGTCATGACATCTTTCATCTTTTTTCCTATATCTGCATTTTCTTACTCTTTTTTCTTTTTCCTCTTTCGATATCCTTTTCTCTTTCTCTTTCATCTGTCTTCTACAATTTCTCTTACTTGTTTCCGCAATCTTTCGTCTGCATCTCTAGACTGACAAGCTCAGTCTTAGCCCCTCCTATGGTAGCAAGAGCTTTTTCGATGCTAGTAGTAGTAGAAGATTCAGGGTGTTTGGGGTGTGTCCAAACTCTCCGTCATCGCCAACTACTCGCGTAGTATTTTGCATTTTAGCTTGAGTTCTCTGCATGTCGACCAATATAGGCTTCTCTATGTAAAAGCTTCCCTCATTCTTTCTTACATATTTCGCACTTCTCGTTCTCTTCTGTTTTTGCGCTCTACCTCTCGTTTTTCCATTCAAAGCTTTTATACACTTTATCTCTTTTCGCTTTTGTTTTTTGTTTTACCTGCTTCTTCTATAAATTAATTACAATTCTGTGAGCTTCTCTTCCTCATGAATATTTTTATTCAACATAATTCTTCCTTCTTTTCTCCACTTTTTTTTTATATTTCCTCTCCTCCTCCTCCAATAAGATGAAAGATTTTAAGCGAAAAGCTTAGCTTCAACAATGTCGTCAGTAGGCTTCCATCTAATCGTCTCTCTCTCATTTTTACTTTGGTTATTCTATATTCATACGGACCTAACGACGAGTAAACCTGCGATTATTTGGCCTTTTCCGTATAAAACTGAATATTTCCAGCTTCAGTCTTTTAGGGCCACCTCATTGAAATCTCCATCACATTTTAATTCAATTCTGCTTCAAACTTTAATTCAAATTGTTCCTAAAATAGTCACATTGCCTCAAATTTTCCTAATAAAATTTGGAAATGTTTGAAATGCTCAATACTTTTCTTCAAACACTTTTTTTTTCCAATTTTTCTTTCAAATAAAAACACTATGGTTGCAAGGGCAGTACAATTAGGAGGAAGAAAATTGAAAGACACAACCGTTCCGAATGATCGAAAATGAAAAAAATGATTTTCGGATGGACGTGAAATTCAAGTGTTCTCCACGTCATTCAATAAGATACGTCATTGTTTGTACAAAAGGGTTCAATTAGAATAGAGGGAAAGGCTTTGCATATGAACTTGAAACCTTACATGATGTTTAAGCTTTCTTTTGCCAATATGTCTACTCAAAACAACTTCAAGTTAGGTTTCTAAGCATTACTTCTCCATTTTCTTCTCATATTCAGAGATGTACGACTATGAATACCTCATTTCATATTGCTTGTAATGGACCGTCATTCATCTTTCTGTTATTAATTTGTTTCTTGAATTTGCAAAAACTTTTTCACAATTTTCAATGATGCTTCATCAAATATACTTCAGGGTACTTACCAAAGAGTGAATTAAACATGAGGCTTCTTTCCCTAATTACTCTATTAACTTTCTTATTCGGAAGTTCCGAATCGGTGAAATGTATGGATTGTGTTGGAATAGATTGTATGGGTTCATTCTGCTACGGGGAATATTGCGTTATCTCCAATTATGCTCCACGATGGGGAACAGTTGAATGGGGACATCCAGAAGTTGTTAAGGTAAGAGAATCTCAATCAAATATTCCAAATGAGTGGAACTTGGAGAGGAAATAGATGTCCTAATAGGCTAGAGTACGCCTAATGAATTTCAAGTTCCAATTGCTATTTATATTAATCAATTCTATGAAATCAAAATATAAATATCGCATTTGAGATTATGTGATGAATTAGGAAACATTGAAAGTGCTTCTTTATAGGGATGTATGAATGGAACTCTACTTCGAAGTGATATTCGTGACCATTGTGAGGTTGCAGACATTGATGACGTAAGTATATTGATTTATTCCTTATTTGGAAGGAAAAAAAAGTTAGAAAGTGCAGTCGAGAACAAAAGGCTTTTTAAAGATTTATTCAATAATAGGTTAAGCGTTATTAGTTCAGTATTTAGGGGGACGTGGGTGTTAATAGGGAATTCCATTTTCTATAGCAAGGATTGTATAACATATCGTTTTCATATTTACTATTCATAATCTTAATCCTCAGCTTGAAGCAATAGCTTCTATACATCTTTCATTCAAATAGGATTTAAGATAATATTCCCATAGTTTTTCTTTTCTTTTTTTCTGTTCATCATTGGCGAGACATCATTCGTGTTTGTCGTATAAGGCCAACAGAATAGTTTTTGTCCGGAAAAGATGCTTATTCTTATGTTGGAGAGCTTGAAAAGCTGCAGGATGTAACCCGATAGGGAACGTAGCGAGCATCGACGATTCTTTTTTTTTTCCGGAAGTTCCATGCTTCATTTCTTCAACTTTCGCCTTCATTCAGTTTCTTCGGAATTATTCAAATGCCCGATAGCAAGAATTTCGCAGTGTGCTCAGAAACAAAAAAGGTTAAAGGTGACCAAAATAAGATGATAATTAGCGTTTTTCGTCGAAATCATCAGATTTCAAAATGGTGAAACGGAAAGAATGAAAGACAATAAAAGCAAGTATTAGTGAGAATGGCTGAATACGAGTGTTCAATTGGAAATACGAAACAGTGTGTAGAAAGAGGAAACTCTGAGCATGTTGTCAAACATCTCCTGAATCTAATGGGTACTCAAAGCTTGTTTAAAACCTTTTCTTTATATGGAAAAAGAGGTGATGGCAACTGCTTGACGCAACTGCAAATTTGCTTCTCATAATGCTTTTGCAAGTACTGGTAATATCATGGATTACTCATAGGCAGACTTAAAATATATTTTTATCGAATTCCTTGATGAGAAGAGAGAATGAAGCTTAGCGGCAACCCTTCTTCAGATATAATCTATGTTTCTCAATAACCTCAGAACTCAACTTTAAAAGGAAGATAAAACCGAAAACTGATGAGGCACTCAAGAATTTTCTTGGATATACATACATGTGTGTCTGGTGAAACCTTAAGAATCAAACATCAAATAAGAATCAGGCACTATAACGCTTTAAAAAAATCGAAATATACTCGATTAGGGTTGCTCAATCCAATTTCTTCTTTCTTTTTTCTTACACTTTCTATTTCAGGATCCATTTACATGCTTCTGCAATGGGCACCTTTGTAACGGAAAAAACACCAGAAAGTTAGAGAAAGAAGTAGTTGAGCTGGTTAGTAAGCTTCTTCTTCTTCTTTTTTTAAAACAATGAATGAATTTTTCATCAATTAATACAACAGAGAAAGATGTCATGAAAAATATCCACTCAATATGTTTTTCCGTGACACTCTTCCAGAAGTCATTAGGAATAACATCTCAGTAATCATTCTATTTGAAGGTAACTTGCCGATGCTCTGGATCCCATTGCCGAGGAAAGTCAACATGCTCTGGAGAAATGTGCAGTTATGTTATTAACCACCGCACAAAGGAGATCGAACAAGTTCGTTTCATTTGAATGCTTTTATTTAATCCAATTTCAACAACTCAAGTAGTTTTTGACAAACCAATCAAAAAAAAAGAAGAAGGAACCAATAAGTCTGAGCAAACTACTAGTACACGAGAGAAAACATCATTTACTACTAGCGAGTTTTGTAACGTTCAAATGTTTCTTTTTCTAGATTCCAAATATTCTCTTAAAAATATTTTTTCTGATTTTCTCATCCATGTTGATCTCTGCATTCTGCAAAACAACCCGAAATTAGTTTTAAGAAAACAATTTCTAGTAGCATGCTGGAAATTATTATTCCTAGCCAGTTCATATTTTAAGAAGCTTTAGTTTTTGCCATATTAATTGAACATAATCGAGTGAACGAATAATCTCCTACATGTGTATTGGATACAAATTGCTTGGCTTATATTTGAGTTTTGAAAACAACAATGCGTTATGAGATTATCGACTTTGCTCATCATCATATAATGCTTCATGGTAGGAAAGATTGCTCAGCAAGCATGCAGGGCAGTAGACATGAATCATTAGGGAATAGACAACGCCAATCTGCGGTTCTTCCGAGGCTTAGAACTGTTGTATAGCCTGAAAAGATTCATTTAACTCGAGCATTCTTCTTGGAACGACCGCTACAAATTTTTGAAAAATTGATAAATGAAAACAACCGTACTATGAGTACGCAAACTTAATAAGTGAAATGAAGAAATGTATTCGTGTTATTACGTATGCAAAATTAAGAATTTCAAACATAAATTTGTCATTACATAAATTCATTCTAAGTAAATTGTCTTCAGGGATGTGTAAACGCGACAGTTCCCCTTGTGGAGAGAAGATCTTTGGGAGCATGCATGATCCCTCCAATTACTGGAGCTATGCACCACACTGTTGCGAAGGTTTAAATGATAGAATAATATGTCCTCAGCTCTTCTCTTTTTTAGGACGCAGAATCTTTGTTATCAACTGAAAGTTGTGTTTGCGGAACTGACTTCTGTAACGCAGAGAAACCTAAGCCCAAAGTCCCAGAAAGACAAAAATGCCAAGCATTTGTCCGAGCTAGCGTGATGGGTAACGCGGTAAGAGCTTGCTCTAACTTACCAACTATTTACTTCTCATTTCAGATGGCTTCCCGTAACACTACTTGCAGAGGAGAATTCTGTTTCAAAGTATATATTTATCACAAAGTATGGTTCTTAAGTAGACATTTAGGCCAGTATCAAAAGTAAACTAGGAACTATGACTGAATACCACACTATCGGCTGCGCATCCTTCACAGGAGATGATGAACTTCCCGAGGAACTAAACCCAACCGGATGTGCTCAATTTAATAATGACGATTTGTCCGTTAGTGCTTGCTTCAAGGTTGGAATAAATTCAAAACTATTAAAATATTTCGACAATTAGACCGACGATCAAGGAGCCATAAATCGAGTTAGAGCTCAGCAAAGAGTTCCAGAGCCAAGACAGCGAAAGGGCAAATCGAGGTACGAATCCCTGTTAATAGTATAATTCAAATTTTGTTAATTCAAGACCTAAACCTAAGGAAACCGTCATGGAGGTTGAGTACGGAGACGATGACGATAATGCGGAAGAAGTTGTCGACGAAGATGACGATATGGACGAGCCAACTCAGAAACCAAGAAAACAACAGAAAGGTTCGTAGTCCTAATAGCAAATTGTTTAAATTTTTCTCAGTTGTAGAAGAAGCAAAGGAAGAAAGAGTAAAGGAAGAACCTAAACCAGAAACGACTACCGCTCAGTCTTTCATTTTCCAAAATCCTACCCAGGCTCCTATTCCGGATGATTCCAATACTACTATGGTAATGTTTTGAAAATTTATCTCTTCAATCGTATTTTCTTTCAGGTAACTGTATTCATACTCATCATGCTTTGTATTGTTGTGTCTGGAGCAGTTTGGAAGCTTGAATTACACAAGAAGCTGTTCCGAGCCAATTATGATTCCGTGGCTGGTGGATAAAAATGTTTTCTTGTAGATAATAGATCCGTTTCAATTTGTTCACTTTATATTTTCTTTGCGTTAACTTATTATTATGACCAATTAACAATATATTTATGAGCAATACGACCTGCTCAAGGCGCCTAATTTATAATTTCAGAATAGAATATAGCAAATGATAGTTTAATAACTTTTCAGTAAAACTTGATTAATGGTTAGTTCCTGAATAATAATTATTCAAATAATCATTTATTTTCTAAATGTTTATTTCATATCTTTCATGATAAATGTTTCGAAGAGGACATGTGCACGTCAACATGCTTCGCACTCTCGCTAAAGGGTTTCATACAAGAGCCATTCCCATTAGAGTTAGCCGTCCCTATTTCCAGATTTTTCACACAAAGCTTTTGTAAAAATAAATTTCATTTCATGTTTTGACATAAATTTTTCAAAATCAACAAAGATTAAACAATAACAACAACGAAGATAAACAAATTGGAATTTATAGATTGGTTGTGTCTCGTGTTTCGATTGTACGAAGATGTTTCTTTTTAATTTTCTTCAGTTTATTGGTGTTCTTGATTACTTGAACTATTTCGGCCTTACGTTCATTAGCTAGACGACGTTCTTCCTGTTCTTTAGCTCTCTGAGCTCTATCCTGTTGAAAAAAGTGTTGACCAATGCATTTAAATAATAATCTTACTAGTTTTTCTTGAGCTTTTTTATCCCGGATATCTTTCTGCAGCATTGCAACCTAAACACAAACAGAATGCTACTTACTGAAGTCATGACTGTGAGTGTACCTGCTTATTTTTATTCTTATCTTCCATTTTTTTCTGCCATGATGTTTTAATAGATTTACTTTGATTTTTGAATACCCTGAATTCGAATTATTAGATTTATAACATTGAATAACTAAAGTACTTCGGTACACTGGTATCCTTCCACCATTTTCCAGATTTTGGTATTCCTCTTTCACTAGTGTTAACAGAAGTTTGAAGATTTTGTTCTTCCACAACCTCCATCTATAAATGCGTTGTTAGAAAAAGTTAATAGTATTTATTTAAAAGCTTGGAAATTAGAATTAATCGAAACAAACAAATATGAAAACGTTCGAAACTACTAGGACATATCTTCGGAAACTCCGAACAGAACTTTTATATTAAAAGTCTTGCAGCGTTGTATGCAGACCTTTAACTCGACGCACAAAAAAGCTGTACGGAAGAGACGTTATACTCTATTAGTCTGAAAATCAGCTGATTCAACGTGCCTGTTTGAAAACAACGAAATCTGTGCACGTGTTGTTGTCTTTTGACAAAAATTGACTAGCATTGTACATAAATTTATTAATGGAAGAGTATTCGTCTGACAAAACAAACTCTATCTCCAAAATGATTGAGACATGCTGCACACTAGAACCTCCATTTGCATACGCTTTGAATCATGACATCGCTTCCTGTTATCGAGAGGAAACTGATATTTATTTATTAGGCAAAAAGTTTACCAAGAAAGGTGATTAGTTTTTACAAAGAAATAGTATTTATGTATATTTATTCAATTTTTCAGATGGACTGGAAAAAATAAGAGAATATGTTCGGTCACGCTTTTGGTTTACTTATCGGAAAAACTTCTCACCTATTGGTATTAATAATTATATATAAACAAAATGAAAGCATAAGTTAAGGAGGAACAGGCCCGGAGTCTGATCAAGGCTGGGGTTGCATGCTTCGCTGTGCTCAGATGGTCTTAGGAGAGGTGCTTCTGAGAAGACATATCGGTAAAGTTTAGAAAAATCATGTATATATATCTTTCACAAAACGGTTGCATTCTTCTATTAATTTATAGAAGCTAGAACAAATCTTCAGATGAATATCATTCAAACAATCTGTTGCTTCAGGCAAACATTTCATATGGAATGAAAAGAACGAGAAAAACTCTAATTACGACAAGATTTTGGAAATGTTCCATGACGAAAAAACCGCTTTGTATTCAATACATCAAATAGGTATAAGTCTTCGATTGAAAGAGTTATTACAATTTTCTAGCGCAAATGGGCGTATCTGAAGGTAAAGCTATAGGTGAATGGTTTGGACCAAATACAGCTGCTCAGGTAAATCATTCAATGTATAACCAAATTTTTTGCTCTTCAGGTTTTGAAGAAGTTGGCTATTTTTGATACCTGGTCAAATATAGCCGTTCATGTTGCTTTAGATAATATTCTGATCAAAAGCGATGTTACAAAAGTGGCAACTATGTCGACATATGATGCTGTTAAGTTGATAAGCGGTAAAATCTAAAAAAAAATTCATTTTTTATTCTCTTTGTTAAGCTGATGGATGCGTGGATGAATCCCATTTAGCTCTGTCGACTGAAGCCCTAACAAGTAAGAATTTTAAAAGTTACTAAATAACGTTTCAAGTTTAGCATCATCATGGCGACCTGTTCTTTTACTTGTTCCTCTCCGGCTTGGACTAACGAATATGAACAAGTGTTATTTACCAGCTCTTCAGGTTTTCCTATTTACTACGATTTTTTAATTTTTTTCTCCTGTAGGAATACTTCAAACTGGATTCATGTGTTGGCATTATCGGAGGCAGACCCAACAGAGCACTTTATTTCGTTGGTATCTTTGATGACAAAGTAATAACATTACCTAATTATTCGCTCAAAACATGCTTCATTTCAGCTCATCTACCTCGATCCTCACTACTGCAGACCTTCCCTCAGTAGTAACAACCCAAAGGAGGTTAAAGTGGAATCTAACGAGGAACCTTCAACCTATCATTGTGATATGACTTTCTGTATGGACTTGGATCAGGTGGACCCATCCTTAGCAATGGCTTTCTTCTGCGAATCAGAAGAATCTTTCAAAAAACTTTCGGAAGACTTAAAAACGGTTATCATAAACGGTATTTTGTGAAAACGATCATAATTTACAGCGCGTTTTCCCATCTTCAAACCCTCCACTTTTCGAACAACTTAATGATCGACCGAAATACTGGCCTCCCTTCGAACCTTACACTGGTGTGAAGGCCAAGATTGAAATGAAAGGTGAAACTTGCAACTTTCTCTGAAATTAACCGTGTTATCTAGAGTTCGATGATATGGGCGATCCAAGTTACATCATTGATGACGACTTCGAAGTGTTGCATGAAGATGAACCTCATGGTACGGCAGCTGATTTGGACTTCGAGTTGGAAGATGAACAGTGTGAGTCCCCTAGTAAAGAGCTCGATTAACACTAATAATATACTTAACTCGTGTAAATACTGAATGTACAAATTTTCTAAGTGAGCTTTGTATAAAAAGAAAGAGGTTTCACTGTCTGAAACGTGATAAGTTCTCTTGATTTATTCGGGTTGTTTTATTGTATATATTACTTTACAAACTAATTCCAATAAAATTGAATGTTTCATATTTTGCTAGAACTGGTCTTCTTACTTCTTTCTTGAATAAAGCTCAAAAGTATCTTTCCGTTTTGAGACCAAATTCTCCCTTTAACTGATGTTTTTGAGTATTCTGTCTTCTTCTCAAGCTCAAGTAAAAGCCAATCTTTCCGGTGGAATCTTTAACGATCTTTCATATAAAAAATATTTAGAATTACAACACCAACCCATTTTCATGAATCCAAACACTGTGCTGGGTTATCAGATCTGAATCTTCAGCGAGAAATCCATAATCAGAAAACATGAGGAGCGGAATATCCTCGTGATCAAACTGAGCGGAATCTTAAGATATTGTTACTTGTAAACATCGTTAAAAACACCACCATCTAGCTTTATCCAATATGCAGTGACTTTTGACTCAGATTCAGCTCTACAAAAATGAAAGAATGGTGAATCGTTAAAAGATTTCTGCAAATCTCAAATTTTCAATTGGAAACAACGAACTAAATACTTGTTTGAGGTTCTTCGAAGCTGGGGGTTTTACATCAGGAAACTTCGGAGTATACGTCACAGATACATCCACATTAGCGACCTAAAGGTGATATTCTGTCCGAGTTTTGAAGATATACGAACATTCTGAAGGGAGAACTCGAAAACTTGGGTTGGCTTTTCCTTCTGGCTTATTTCGACGAAACGTATCGTAAAGTTACGTCCATCTCGAACTTTTTGTAAACGATAGTTTGTAGGCTTCAATACATCAATCTCTGATAAATTATAGCAATAAATACTGTGGATTCGAAAAAGATTCGAAACGCTTCCTAATACAATAGAGCTTGCCTTCTCAAGCAATTGTGCCAAGGAGCCGTCGGTCATTTTCGCAACTCTGCGAAAACAGAACTGATAAGACTATGTGTGTCCGATAACTTACATATAAAAATCGTCTATTTAATTGAATTGAGAGCTTTGAAATTTCATAACAGTAATAAAACTAGTTTATTCTTGATTATCAAGACGCTGTGATAGTGATCGATCGGCTCCTATCAGTCAGACAAACTCGTATTAATCGAAGGACATTTTTAGGACATGCTAGACAGTGTGCCAACAACCCGGTAAAAGAAATCATTCTGTCTGAGTGCTGAGCCATGCTTGCGAATTTTTTCTTTCTCTCTCCCAAAGATCTCCTTTTGTCAACTGTGAAATTAAGAAGATATTTCAGAGTAATTGACAAGCATGCTCTATTTGCAACCGTACTCAATGGCTGAGACCTTTAACTTTTCTATAGCATGAAGAAGCACAGAACTCTCTTTATTTTTTATGTTAACAGTGATAAAGCTCAGAAAATTGTAATCTAACAATAAGGTTTCAGGTTGATTATGCCACTTTTTGAAGTGACATTAATCACTCGTTCATTATCAAAGGTAAATTAGTAAAAATTCCACGTAAAGCAAAGTTTCATTCTAGTCCGACCTCATAAAGACACTTACAAGAGCAGGAAACACTTTGCTGGATCATGGAGCTGTTATTGAAAAAGTTGAATCGTTAGGTCATAAAGATTTACCCTACAAACGAATAACCAAACAAACGAACGATCCAGTTTATTCTTCAAAGTTTGAAGGCAAAGGCATGAAATTCTTGAACATCTCAATTCAGCTACTTTCTGTTCCGAACTCATATGTCCGTGGATGCAAGAAAAGTGACGAAGTCAATTTTCCAGAACGATTTAGACACAGTTAGAACAATCATTTTTTGGAATTTTGAATCTTTCTTTCAAGGTTCATGTCGATATCGTTCCCATACAATCTTCGCAGAAAATTGATTGCAATTTGGAAGAGTTATTGAAGCCGCCAACAGAAAGAAAAGTATACAACGAATATATTGCAAAACATTACGAAATATGTTTTTAGTCTGTACAAGATTTACGTGAAAATCAGAAGATGGGACATTTCACCCGGCAGATGATTTATAAGAGAACAGAGAAGGAATGGAAGAGCATTCCAAAGAGCTGGACGATCGCCCCTCCTAGGCCTTGATCTCTATTTAGCTAGTACTACTTGTTTTTCTAATATATTGTTAATATTGTTACATAGATTTATTGAATAGACAGTCTCCTATCTTCACTCTCAAGATTAGAATGTTTCATAACATTTCATACCTCTCTAGATTAGTTCTTGCTTAACTCATTGTTTTATTAGGATGGGTGCTAATTCTGTGACTGAAGTTACTTCTGCTTCCCAAACGGAGACACTCCAGCTCCCAGATCATTTGTTCGAAGCGTTGTATTCTATGCAGGTATCTCATTAATCAGTTGCATTGTTTCACACCTTCTAAGGTCTTCCGTATGGGCGAGTTTTTCCTCAAGTCTGGGCAAATGACTCCAATCTATATTGATCTTCGCAGAATCATGAGCCATCCTAAAACTTTAGTGAGGAAACGCTCAAGTTTGCGACTCTTATTTGAACTTTACAGCGCTTGGCTGCTCAAAGTCTCTGTGACATCATTATTTCTCAAGGATTGAAGGTTGATTACATCGTTGGAGTCCCATATGCTGCTATTCCTTTAGCAACAGTTTCGTTCTTCAATGATTCATCCTATTTAGCTACCGATTTCAGTTAGTAGCTGACATTATGGATATACCTATGCTTATGAAGAGAAAAGAAGTTAAATCTTACGGAACTAAGAAAATGATTGAGGTGCTTAGTTCATGAAATTAACTGAAAACATGTTTATTAGGGTGTTTTTACAACTGGTGGACGTGCTATTCTTATCGAGGATGTTGTCACAACTGGTGAGTCCATTCGAGAAACAGCTGAGGGAATCCGTGAGGAAGGTCTAGAGGTCAGTCCAACTTTTTCGCGCTGGATTTAAAAACTTCTATCAGGTCGTTGACGCTATAGCAGTTTTGGACCGCCAGCAAGGAGCAACAGTTCAACTGAAGAAAGCAGGAATAAACTTTTATAGGTAGTAAAACTTTTTTTGTTGTCTCGTTCATGTGAGTTTTCAGTGCTCTTACAATGGATCTCATCCTGGACGGTATGATTTCCAAAAATGAAATCACTAAGGAAAGAAAGTATGAAATTATCGAGCATTTGTCGAAGCCTTTCTAAGAAGAGAATGGATTGTTGGAATGATTACCGATTAGGGTGTTTAAAACTATAATAGATTTGTTTTCACTTCTTTGTTATCTTTGAAATTGTGATATCCACTTTACATTTTACAATATTCATTCGTTTCTTGGGAGAAAGCTCAAAGCGAACTTGTTTTCTGTCACCGATAATTGAGGAATTATTGGTTTCTGTTGTTGACCATAGATTTGATTAATTCTTTTTTCCGGTTCAAGTAGGGTTATTCAGATTTATTTTTTTCATGCTTCTCAGACGATTGTTTCATCGTATATAAAGAGGAATTTGCAGTTGGTTTTGTTCTCAGTACAATCAGTTTATTGCCTAAGCATACTTTAACATTGTCATCTTTGTCGTCTAAATGGCTTATTATCAGAAGGAATGGCATCCTCGAGATCCTTCAAAAACAAAATAAGAAGTAAAGGAGATGCGATCTCATATTTCAGCTCTCATCAAAGAATACGAGGATGTGACATGCAGGTAAGGAAAATAAAACTCGGATGTGGTGAATGATTTTTCTAGGTATCAAAAGTTCATTCTTTATCTTGGAATTGCGATGGAACTAAGCTAGCTTGCGGATCTCACGATAGGTTGACACGCTTTTCACTTTTCGTTTCATCTTTTTGGTTTTCAGAAGAGTTGCGGTTGCTGCCGTAGATTCTGGTTGTAGGTTGAAGCTAGATTTTGTAGCCTCTGGTCATGATGATACTGTTGATCAAGTATTATATACTCCGAATGGAAGTTATTAATTTTTGCTTGAAGGTCGCTTTCCAATATTCCTCACCGTATGTCTTTGCATCAGCAAGTTTGGACAGATCCATCTGTGTTTGGGATATGAGAGCTAAAAGTACACAGCGAAAACTGAGCACACGAGGTAAAATTCGTTCAAACTCTACTGTGAATCACACGAGTTTGGTTATTAAGCTCCAAATTTGTATGTTACTTGGACTCCGAGCGGCAAGCATTTCATATATGGTGATAAAGATAATAAAATACACATTGTGGATGGACGCACATCTTCTATTATCAAAGTGAGAATGAATAAGAGACATTTTCATCGAAAAAACTCTTCAGAGTGTTGACATCAAAGTGGAACTCAATGAAATAGTTTGTCACCCCAGTGGAGAATACTTGTTCGTCGCTACCGGTGGAGGAAAAGTTGAGATATTTTCGTAGGCTGAATGACCATATACTCAAACTGTAATTCATGTTAAGGCTACCTGATTTGAAGCCGTTACGAAGCATACAAGCTTTATCAACTCAATCAAGTTGTTTATCTATAGCAATAACGTCAGATGGATCAAAGATGGTTGTGGGTGGAAATGACGCGCTATGCACGTTGTGGAACTTGGATGAATTCATCTGCGAATCAACGATTGCTAGGTCAGCCATATTTATCTATGCTTCTTTGAATGATAAGATAGACAGAGAACATGCGACCGTGAGAAATCTGAAACTGTTATTTCAGGCTAGACTATCCTGTCCGTACAGTATCCGTAAATGCTTTTGGAAATCTTATCGCTTGTGGTAGCGAAGATCACTGCATTGACATAGGATGGCTAGATGACGGCGCTAAGTAAATCATACATCAGTCCGAAACATTGAAAAATATTAATTTTGAAGGGTATCAGACATTAGAGTGGATGGAGAAGTTTTCTCAACTGCATGGCATCCGAAACAGCCAATTCTTGCTTTCGCATCAGTATCTTCAGAAGCAAGAGATCGTGATTCCGTGCGCTTGTGGGGATTTACCAGTTGATACTAATATCTCATGCGAATCAAAATCAGTTATGGGTCCATTTATCTGATTTCAATCTATTTATTAAGAAAACGAGGTTATAAGCTGTATTACGTTCTCATAATCGTTGGTTAAAAACAAATGTTCACTTAGCTTTCAAATGCTGTTGAAAACCTTATTTAATAAACCTTAAATGGCGTTTTCCGATGTTATGGCTAAGCTATGGTGGCAAACTATATCCTAACAAAAACTGGCTGATTTAAGAAAAAACTATTAAGTCTTTAGAACTAATAACCCAGAATGAAACTTTGCGAACAAGTTTCAATTATGAAGTTCTCGCTCGTTAATAAATGCGGTTTCCTGATCTCGTCAGTTTTCTATGGTCATCGAACTGGATGGACAGGGTTGTGGCAGCTGAATAGTGAACTGGATGAATATATCCAATCATTTTTCTCTTTATTCAGATGAACAGCAATGTGAGTGGGTTGGGTAACACCATATCTTCACGTTGTCTACAAAACGGAAAAGACTTGCGGTCGTTGATATCACTTAATCCCATCAACACTTTCCCTTTTCCATCTTTCCATTTCAAATATGCTGATACACCTGTACCTAATTTATTCTAATGACTGATTATTATAGATGGATAAGCTGATTGAAGAACTTCGTGTTGCTTTTGCTACTGATGATGTTGTAATCGAGGATGTTGAGAAAATTCTCGGCTCATACAAGAGCAACATCTCTGACTGGGGGAAATTTGCCCATTTTGACGATAGACAGTACGTTGCGCATAATGACAAGAGAATAAACTCAACTTTTACAGTTATACCAGAAATCTTGTTGATACTGGTAATGGTAAATATAATCTCATTGTTCTTTGTTGGGGGCCTGGAATGTGTACAAAGTATATTTTTTATTATGTCTCTCATAAATTATCCATTTTATAGCATCCATGACCATTCAGGATCTCACTGTTTCGTCAAAATGCTACAAGGATCTCTTCTAGAGTCCAGGTATACGAATGAATTTTGCGAGAAACATGCTAATCTCTTAGATTTGCCTTCCCTGAGAGTTCAGAACATATTGGACCTCTGAACAGAACTGGAGAAGTCCAAGTTGATGTTGATGAAGTGACATATATGAGCGGTTAGAAATGCTAGTATATTTTTTTTAACGGCATGTGTGTTAGATCAACTCGGTCTTCATCGTATGGAAAATCCAAGTCATTCGGAAAATGCTGTTAGTCTTCATGTTTATTCCCCTGCCTATGAAGAATGTCATTTATTCGATCAAAGAACAAGTTAATACTCTTCATCGAATCTTTTTAACTGAACATCTTACAGGTCAGAAACATGCCTCGAAAGTCACATTCTGGTCAAAGTACGGAAAAAGAGAACATAATGACTTACTTTTCGACTCCATACGTAATGGACGGTCTGCCTAATCTAACATATTTTGACACTCACTGTATAAGTAATAAAATCAATAACTTAATTGATTGTACATTTGTTTTCTAAAAGTTTTTTTTATGAATATTGAAAGAAAAAGAATAAATCTTGCCTTCATTCGTTTCCAGCGACAGAATAAATAGTAGAGCAGTTAAGAACAACCGTGTGTACAGCGACAAAAATTGTAAATGACCTACCATTCGTACCAAACGTACAGGAGTTACTGGCAAGTTCGGGTCTTTTGTTCACGAGTTGTATTCATTAAGTGTTGCGTTATAAGATTTTATGTTGTTTGTAAGAGTGAATACGTCTAAGAAACGATAAAAAAAAACTCGCTGAAACGGATTGGAGGTTTGTTGACACAATTAAAATTTTCATATGTTGAATCACGATATGATTTTCGTCCAATCATGATGGCAAATGACATTATATGCACTATCGCAGTTTATCCTTTATCATTAAGTATAACCAAACTGGATATGCCTGATATTTTGTTTTTGGAAGTATAATGAACCAGTTGGAATGATAATTTATTTTCACAAATTCGTTTGGCGTCCAAGCTACTATATAAGGGCTTGAATCTGATGGCACAATACCTTCGCTGCATTCTCTTCTCAGCTCCCAATCGGAAGAGAATAATAATGGTGAGTTATTAAGCGTTTTCAAGTTTTCATTGTTGTTCATTCAGTGGCGCACCGTTCAATATTATGGAGTCTTGAGCTCTTTCATTATGTGCTCCATGATGTTGGGAGTTTGTTTTTATACTATGTATGATCTCTTCGATGAAATTGATGAGTTCGAGCGAAAGGTTGACCGTGAGCTCAAAGAGTTCAAGGTATGTATTGAAACTATGATAAACTTACTAATAATATAATTAGGAATATGCTGATGATGCTTGGAATGTTATGCTAACTCAATCAACTGGTAGCTCTCGTAAAGTGTACAGCGTTTTCGTCAGAAGCCGCCGTCAGTCTTACAATCAAGGTGGAGCTGCAGGAGTATCAGGATATACAAACGGCGGTGGATCACAAGGAGGTGGAGGAGGAGGAGGACAATGCGGTTAGCACTACGCTCCAGATTGAAGAAAAAAACATTTTGTTTTCAGCTTGTGCTCCTGCTGCTTCTGGATGTCCAGCTGGACCACCAGGTCCTCCAGGTCAACCAGGAGAAGATGGAACTCCTGGTGATGCTGGACAAGACGGTCAAGCTGGTCAAGCTGGTGCTCCCGCTGATTCATCATCTTCTTCTCAAGACTGCGTGAAATGCCCACAAGGACCACCAGGACCTCCAGGTTCTGACGGTCCACCAGGACCAGCAGGTCCAGACGGAAACCCAGGACAAAGCGGACAAGGAGGAGGAGCAGGAGAGGCAGGTCCACCAGGACCACCAGGAGGACCAGGACCAGATGGAAACCCAGGAGCTCCTGGATCCGATGGACAACCTGGAGCACCAGGAACCCGAAGCGTTAGCACTCCAGGACCTGCTGGTGCACCAGGAGAGGCCGGACCTGCTGGAGGACCCGGACAATCCTTCGATGCCGGTCCATCACCTGCTGGACCACCAGGACCTCCAGGAGCTCCAGGAAACGATGGTACTCCAGGAGCCCCAGGTAACCCCGGACAAAATGGTGCTGATGGTCAACCAGGATCCGATGCTGCTTATTGTCCCTGCCCACCTCGTACCGCCTTCGTTGAAGGAGGAGGAGGAGGAAATTACGATAATGCAGCTCCACCACCAGCCCCATCAGGAGGATACTCCGCCGCAGTTCAAGCTCCAGCACCTGCCGCAGCAGGAGGATACTCTAGCGGAGGCGGAGCTCCACCTCCAGCCCCAGCCCCAGCCCCAGCCCCAGCAGGAGGATACTCGAGCGGAGCCGCAGCTCCACCACCAGCCCCATCTGGAGGATACTCTAGTGGAGCTGGAGCTCCACCACCTTCAGGAGGGTATGCTTCAGGTAAGATTACACAACGCATATCTGTGTTCAATTGAATCATTTATCATTTAGGTGCACGTAATCGGGGAGCTCGACAACTTTAAGTTCATCAAAGAAATATTTACAACATTCGTCCACTATGGTTATAGGCCTATTGCGATGATGAGAAATAAACTAATTTTTTTCATATTCATGTTCTGTTCATAAGCTCACAAAAATGTTCTCCGCTACATATTATACCTCAGAATGATCATTCATCATTAAAATGATAAACTTACCATAACAATTTCAGCTATCTGCCGCCCGTGTAATATGGACTATATGAAGGTTGAGACACGCTAGTGTAGGGTGGAGCTGGTCTAGAAATGTATGAAGGAGGAGGAGGGGGTGGGATATCGTAAGGAGAGGAACGATAAGAGATTGGTCTTCTTGCCTTCATTACATATTGTGGATAGCTTGTAGCATACTTATCAGCTGTGATGAGGGCTGGTGGTCCTCTGTTATACCCGGGGTATGTTGAATACCGATCCGGAGGTGAACCATAAGATGGCCCGTTCGCCGATGTTATATCGGTTACTGGTGGCTGGTGCGGTGGTGGAGGTGGAGGAGGAGGAGCAGGAGTAGATGGGTACGACTTGGAGGGTTGCTAAAAAAAGCGCCATCAAAAAGAAGACTTGAACCTACTTACTCCAACAACCAGTGTGTTTTTATAACCCGGTACATTTGGATATGTGTCCGATCTTATTGGACAACTGCAGTACTCAGCATCTTTCCCTGGGACTCCAGCATGTCCCATCTAAATAAAGTGCATAAGAAGCTGAACAGTTATGTTTTATACAGGTCCTAGAAGACCAGGTGCACCAGAAAATCCAGGTTTACCCGGAAGTCCAGGCAAGCCAACTGGACCGGGAGGACTGAATGCCGGTTGTCCTGGGTCTCCAGGTCTCCCACACTTTCCAAACGCGCCTCTTTTGCCTGGAGGACCAGGGAAGTTGTGAGGCCTGACAAAAGAACGACCAGGAAGCCCCGGAGATCCTTCCTCACCGGGATTACCTTAAGCATTCGAAACATTTGAATTAAAGTCCAACAAGTACCACAACATCCGGGATCTCCTTGATCACCTGGAGCTCCAGGAGCACCTACGAACACATAGAAACTACTCTCCCCTGGAAAACCAGCAGAGCCATCAAGTCCAGGTCGGCCAGGTATTCCCGGAGGACCCACTGGACCTGGGGGACACAAGATGCATTCCATCGGTTCTTTGTATAAATCCAACCCAGAAGTTCCTGGCAAACCACTTTCTCCAGGACTTCCAGGCTCTCAAAATATGTACTAAATTGTAATGTCGGGATTAAATACCTCCTGTCAGTCCACGCTGTCCTGGGGCGCCTGGAGGTCCTGGTTTCGGGACACACTGTGGTATTGGTGGTGGTACATAAGGTACTCGTTGATAGTATCCTCTTTTCGGGCGTGAGTTCTGAACAGTTATTACAGCCGAAAAACTCTTTTTTTTTATTTACATATGAGGGAGAAGTTTTAAGGACCATTGTAGCCCAAGCTTCTTCTGAGTATATCTTAAAACAAAGTGTGGAACACTTGTACAATTAGACTGTCATACGTGAAACTCTTCAAACTCTTCCGAGAAATCAGATTGCATATGCATTATATCCAGTGATAGAAAGATGAATACAGAAAAGTTCAGAGATAGAATCATAAGAATGAATGCTGAGCTAACTTTTAAGAACATGACCTCTCGATTTGGAGACATCGATTCAGTATAAGGCAAAGTGCCGAAAGAACATTACATGCCATATTAGGAGACTTTTATATGATTCTATGAGTGAAAGCTCCTTAACCAGTCAGGATAATTCACTTTAGGTAAAGAAGGCATCTGTCTAGTTACTTAGAAGGGAGATTAAACGTGCGAAGTTCAATTAAAGAAAATAGAACTAGTTCTTCTTTCACTTTTGATGTTTTGTCTTTACGGATTGGTTTGTTTGTTTCCGTATTTAATAAATGTCTGGATAGCATATTTCTGTACATATTTCCGAATTGAAACAATACAACCAGTTTTCCAGTTTAAGAACACCCCACCAATGTGCTCATGGAAGACTACTGAAAATTTATTCAGCATAGGTATCTAAGAAATAACATGTTTCCACAACTCGAGAGGCTCCATTTTGAAATCTCACATAGGCGAAATCATGACTTATCTTGCCATGGATTGAAGCGCGCTCCAATGGTCTCAGTAAACAGACCTTTACTCGAGGAGAATGACATTGAATGGACTGGTCAGGCAACTATAAACGTTACGTGGTGTTTCTGAAATATATATACTAAAATTTTCGTTTCTCATGTTATTATTTCAATAATTTTGTAACTTAATACTTTATCCACCATATTAATTCTTGAAATCATTTAGAAAATGGCAGCCAATGGTGCGAGAGTCCAAGGAACTGATGGTACTGATTTTCAACACCGTCAGAGGATTGCGGCTCATTACCAAGAAATGTAAAATGATAACCGTTTTTTTAACCCTCATATTCTATTACAGTGTTCAATACAAGACTACTTTGAAAATGTTCTTCGCATTACATTTGTTCGCTCTTTTATTCATGTGGGGAAAGGCTAGTCGTTTTGATTGTTATTTTTCACTTATCAAGCTGATTTAGGTTGGAAGTGAAGTCCTTAGGAATGATTTTGGAGTGCAGCACCCCTTACTCAACTTTTTACGTATGCCTGCAGCATATCCGTGGGAGTATGTATGGTGCTTTTCTTTTATCCCTATTCTCATTGCCTTGAAGTCATTTCCAAAAAACAACGTGCGTTTCTGACGGTTTCATGAGTTCAAATGTGTATTATTAGGTTAAACTAGTCAACTATCATTATTATGGCCAGTTCTTCTGTGGCATAGTGCCTTGTATGATTGGATTAGGTGCACAAGTTCCTGAACTGTTCGACTATATCAGTGACATGGAGAACAGCGAAACTCCAACTTTCCAAGTAAGGGTCTAATGAGAAAACATTTCTAAATTTGTGCTTAAGGGAGTTTTCCCAATGGTCATCATTTGGTACATTTTCTTCGCGATAGCTATTCAAATTCATTGCTTCTCTATGTACTTCTCTTATCATCTTGCTGCTGCAATGGCTCCTCCTAAAAGAGATTAAGCCATTATTAAGTGATTCAGTTTAGTTATCCATGTGATATAGCAGAAGGTCTAGTTTTGTTTTGTTTGTGTTTTGAAAAGTTTCATCCATATATATATTTATATGTCTACCACAGTATTTACTTGTATTCTATGCGTGCGAAATTATTCTTGTTACCTTCACTGAAAGTGCTTTGTTTATGTTGTTCGATATATTTGAGAGGTTTCGTCCTCTTTCATATTTTCACATGATTTCTTGTTTTTTTTTCACATCGATTTTTTCAAGTCAGTCAATTATGTGGAACTGCGGATTCGAAGATTTAAACGATGATTCTAATGAGCTTATGCTCCACAAGAGAGACGGTATAGAAGAGCCCGTTCACAGCAAATACGTGTTTACTCAACCACCTTTGGGAATCCCAGTACGTTTGACGTTTTAGTTCTCGTTGAGCTTGTTACTTCTTAGGCCAAGGAGTTCGTTTCTAACCATTTTGGAAAAAATGCCAAAAATCTCCAGTTCCGTAAAGGTACAACCTGCTTGTCCTTTGTTTACGAACCTGCTACTCCAAATGATAAGGGAGGAATTATCATTGCCGTCGACTCGAGAGCTTCCGCAGGAGAATATATCTGTAATACTTTTCTCAAGTGTGTTACCTTATCTTTTTGCTTAAGCATCAAAATCTGTCATGAAGATTTTGGACATCGGAGATCGTATGGTGGCTACCATGGCTGGAGGAGCTGCTGATTGTCAGTTCTGGACTAGAACTGTTGCCAAATATTGCAAGTCAGGCTTTTCTTTTGTATGTTTTCCTTTCATAGTAGGTCTTTTTCAGTTTGTATGAACTCCGTGAGAAAAGCTCTATCACTGTAAGCGCTGCCAGTAAGTATTTCGCTAATGTGTTGTACACTTACAAGGGAATGGGTCTGTCAGTTGTAAGTAGTTTTTGATATATTAGGAATTAACTGTCGACTTAAGGGTTCTATGGTTGCTGGATACGATAAGAAGGGACCTCAAATCTTCAAAGTCGACAGTGAGGGAGATCGCTGTTCTCTCCGAGTTTGCTCAGTTGGATCTGGATCATTGAATGCTTATGGTATTCTTGATACTCATTACAAAGCCAAGGTTAGTGATACAGTCTAAGAGAGAACTAGTAATCTGTTTCAGATGACTGATGAGGAAGCTAGAATGTTGGGACGTCGCGCTATCATGCATGCTACCTACCGTGATTCTGGTTCCGGAGGAGTCTGCAATAGTATGAAATTCAATATTCCCATTGTATATCGGAGAGTTTTTCAGTGGTTCACATCACACCGGACGAGAAGATTCGTCTCCCACCTATGGATGTAAGCAAGTTGTGGTACGAGTTTGCTGATGAGCTTGGACGCGACATCGTTTACGAACCAAGACACGAGTAATATAAGTACTGTTAATGTTGTATCTAATTTATTCCGGTTTAAATGAACTGAGCATTCGTGTTTAATTGATTTCCTTTTCTCTTTGCGATCATGGTGAACGATGCATTTTATTATGTATTCACAAACTCGCTTAAAATAAATTTCCATGGTCTATTGTGTGTTCGGTACATCGGTATTGCATCCTCAGATCATACTTAGAATTGAATATATTTAAAAATTATGCATTTGTATTAAGGATTAAAAGTCCATAGTTAATGCCAAATTTTTAAAAGTATGTCGTATGTTAGAAGTATGATTTGCATAAAAATAAAAGTATAGCAATTTAGAATGATTAAAAATCGCAATTCTTGGTTGGATAGCCTCTCTCCGACACCACCAGGAGTATTTGCCGCTTTGAAGAGGGACGGTAATCCTGCTACTGATTCCCTCAGAGCTATTTTACTACTTGTCTTATTTTCTGCAACATTTTTTTCTTGTTTAGTAAGTTGATTGCACTCATATAGCTTATTCATGTTTTTAGGGAGCAACAGTTTTACGAGGTGATTGGGCCAGAGGTCCTATTGTTTCATATTTATCATGTGTAGGAGGAGGAGTTTTTCTAGCCACGTGCCTTTTAGATTTACTTCCGGGTGAGAGCAATAGTTCAAGCTTGTTAATTTGAAAGATTTTTAAGAAGGATTAGAATCGTTCGAGAAAGCCGGAATAGAAATGGAGTTCCCTATCGCTGAAGCTGCTATCGTAGCGGGTTTTTTAATGGTTTTAACAATAGAACAGGTTGAGCATTTCCTGCTAGAGAAGGGATCATGACATTCGTATTAGATTGTGGTTGCTGCTCAAGAGAAAGGATGGTTGAGTGGTGGTCACCTGCATGATCATCATCATGATACTGAATCATTGGTAACGAGTGATCCTGAAGATGAAGCTCCAAAAGAGAACGTTGTGGGCTCCATCCTCTTGGTATTTTATAATTATTACTTGAAAATGTCTAACCCTCTCTTTCAGGTTTTCGCTATATCTTTACACGCGTTGTTTGAAGGATTATCGGTAGCGGTTATCACAGAAGCTCCTAAGCTTCTACAGGTTGGCTGACTTCGTGATATCTGACATTTCTTGTTATTCTAGATTGCTGCTGCTCTTTTTCTACACAAAGTTATCATTGGTTTCAGTGTAGGTGTACGTTTAGTAGAGAGTAATATGCGTACTATCCATATTGCTATATGTGCTTTTTGTTTGAGTGTACAGGTTGTTTTTCATATGTGATCTTTATCGATTAGGACATTTGAAGGTTTTAATTGGTGGTTTCGGAGGAATAGGATTAATGGATGTTATTTCTGGAGGCAACAAGTCAACCGCTGCTCTTGTGGCCTGCATTCTACAAGGTTTTTAAAAAACTTTTTGTTAATTTTCAACGATTTTTAAGGTGTTGCTTGCGGAACTTTCTTATATATTACCACGTTTGAGGTACTTCCTCACGAAATTTCGAAACCAGGGAAACGACTTGCCAAATTGTGTTTTATCTACATAGGAGTTTTTGTCGTTATATCATTTATGGCTATTTTTGGTGATGTTTGAAAACGTTGTACTCATGTTCTAAGTGCCATATCTTTCACTTTTTTTTCACTTGCCACTTTGTACTCTGACATTCCCCGAGAAGGTCTTTCTTACATTCTAGTCATTTCATTGCAAACCCAGTGCTCAAGTCTTTTTATACGATTTCATCTGATTCTCCCCAAGATGGGATAGACATTTACTTAAGGCTTTAAAAGCTAATCATGTACAGGCACGATTTACAATAAAATATTTTCTATTTTCACTATGTGAATTTGTGTATTGGTTAACCCAACAATTACTCTAACTTACGAATCAAGTGCATAGCTTAATCTTTCATAGTTCAGATGAGCAGCTAGAATGGTGCTGATCGTCATTACTGTTGTAATCATATTCTTCTCCCTTATTTGGCGGTACGGGAATTTGAATTTCTTAAAGGACTGAGTATTTTAGATATATTGGATTAATACTTTCGACATTCCTAGCTTTCTTCCTCAAAGTACCTATCAAAGTAGGTGGGGTTCGATGGCTTTCTCTCTTCGACGTTAGGGTAAAGTTAGCCGGTGGCATAACAGTTCATGTAGATACGTTATCTCTTCATTTATTTTCGCAGCATTTTAGGTTTCTTTTTGTCGATTTCTTGTTCTAATTGCTGTTTTTAGTAAACCATTTCTCCTCTCATTAGGTGATGTAAGAATCGAAACTGAGGGCTCAACTTTTTCTAACCGGACAAATTCCGGGAAAAGTTTGAACTCTCGATCTCACAACTCGTCTTTACTACTCTCCAGATTGAAACAAGTTGTACAGGTATGTTTTGATTTTATTTACGTGGTGGATACTTACATGCTGATTAGTATTGTGGATTGACTGTTACTAGTGTTCATCTGATCTTATTGGATGCTTTACCACATTGTATGGTTCATATTACAATATATGAACTAAGTATAGAAACATTTAGAAGCCGTGAAGGGTAACCATTCTTCTCTTTTCTTTCATGAAGTTTAAACTTGTAGATGGCAACTTGAAGTTTCATGTAGGCTTGTTCAAGGAAAAGCTCTCAGGAGGAAAGGCGTTGTTGGTAGAGCTTTAGCAGAGTTTTCGCTACCTTTCCATTTGTCTCTGGATGTCACCGGACCTGAAATATCCCGTATCGGGTTAAAAATCAGAGATCCGTCCGTCAATATATCTTCAGGTAGTCATCTTTCATAGATTTAAGTATAATTTGTGAATAATAGACGTGTTCGAGTTTCTACATGAGCAGTTTCAAGGAAGTCATGATGGTATAATCAGGCCGTTCTTCTTGAGATAAAACCTTCTTTAGATGACGATTTGGAAGAAGAAGAATTATCAGTTGTTAAAAGAGGTTTTGATGATATCCCAGCGATTTCCATTGATCTCCATAACAGCGTCATAAAATATACTTCTGCGTACAATCAAAGGTAGTACTAATTTGACTATGAACTACTGCATGTTGTGTCTTCAGTCGAGTGCTCTGTCTGCAAGTTCGAGAAATTGTACTAAGCCAGAGCAACGAAGGATTGAATGCTCAAGTTCGTGGAGTTTCCTTATTGGATTCGTTTATGAAAAGTGTACTCAAATCATCAGATTTATCAGTTGTTGTTCAAGTGAGGAAATAAGCTATACAATCACAACTCGATTGCGTTTCAGAACAGAATGTCTATGTACGCTCTCGAAATTCGTTCAGACAGTATCCATACTTCTTTATCTCTTCAAGATGCTTTATGGTGGAAAGAGCATTTCGAAACAACTCTAGAAAACTTTAATACTTCCGAAAAGGTAATTGGTATAATACATATCTGGTAGTATCATCTATGTTTGCTCAGAAACGAACAGGAAGTATCATACGAGATACAAAATCAGTTTCTTGCTCCATCGAATTGGATTCCTTTGTGTGTGAACTAGTTGACACAGATTCTTTCCAATCTTCTCTATCCGTTCAACTTTTAACTCTCTCAGTTACTGAAAACGATTTGGAGTTTGGAATAGAGAGCTTGACTTTCTCATCGGAACAGAATCATTACAAACCATCTGAATTTGACACTCATCATTGGGGTCAATCTGTATGAACTTCTTACGAGATTCTTATAACTTATTCTTATCAGGTGTACATTGGTATTGCTGTCGTTCAATATGCGAAAAGCGCTGCTGAACCTTCTCTTATGATTTGTGTGGATGATTGTAAATTGGAATGGAGTGATCGTTTGGCTAAACAAGTACGAAGCTAGACAGTTCCTGATATATTTTTTTTCTAAGATCCATGGTTTATTGGTTCTAGTAGGTAACTCAGGTGAATCCACCAATAGTAAACAGGAAAGTTCTCATTCACGCCCCATAGCGGTACAAGCTAAAGTTAAAAGGTTCCTCTTTGCTTGGTCAAAACTTTAGTTGATATTATCAATTTATAGAACAGCTCTGTACTTGGTTGCTAAGGATAGTTATTATGTTGTTCATATATGCGATGAGTTGATGTTGGAGAGCTATAATTGCTTTAAAGACTTTGTGATCTCATGTAAAAATAGTAAAATTGGGGTGAGAAAAATGATCCCGTTTGGTTCAATAAGATATTTTCCAGTTGGGTATGAAGACTGCTGAACCCATGCTTATCAAAGAATTGAAAGAATCTCATATAGTATACCCAAGCAAAGACGATGGTTCCGATCTTCCTTGGAGGACTTGGAACCAGAAAGAGAAAGATAGGTGGGCTGTATCCAATGATAGGTATTTATGTATGATTTCAGAAAAAAAGCAGAGAAAAGGAAAATTTTCGAAGAAAAGAGAGCCAAAGGAATCAAAATCGTAGTTTAAAATAATATCGTTTAATACTTATTTTACTCTCAAGGTTTGTGAAGCTGATATGCTCTGTATATCGTTGGAACATTTATCTCCTGTGACAAGAGATGTGACTATATCTTCTAACACCCCGGTTTATTGTGTTTGGTCTCCCTTGTTACATCAACTTTTATTCCATATAAAATGCACTGTACAAAGGTAAAAAAAATAACTAACACTGATCAATCATGCTTATGATACAGCACTTTCACCCTGCCCAGAGTTGAGAGTACCGTTCGGAAGACTCCTAAGATTTTGCATTTAAAATTGATCACTACTAATTCAGTAGAGCTTGATATGGAGCTATCTGGTTTCCACAGGTTCGGTTGTCGTTCTCTTCTTTCTGTTCATATTAGTATTCAGAATGATATGGCGAATACCATCTTTGAATGTAGATTGGAACTCGTCTATTCTCACAGCATTATCCACTCTTCTTACAATTAATATAAATGGATATGACATTGTTACGGCTACTGTATGTGATTTGCCAGTTAGTATCCTAGTTACTCAATTCAGAACGTATCAATTAAAAAAAGAACGCAAGACATACAAATGGATGCAGCTCGTAAAAATTTTGGAAATGTGCTCACCTCTACCAACAAAGTGAGGATGTTAATTATCGTGAAGCACATAGCTTGTTCTAAATTGTTTTACTCAGCTTTTGAGTGAACGATTACATACTGAATAATCTTCATTCTTTCATTTCGAATCATTTCAGGTGTGGACTTGGGCTGCCGATCTATTTTCGTTCTATTTACCGTTTGAGTTCAACTTCCATGAAGTTTTCGACGAGTTCATCAATTGTATAAAATGGATAAAAATTATTCATCAAAACCAGAAAAAACCATTCACAGCTGAGAGCCCATTGCCGTGCGATTTGAGGATCAAATTTCAGGTAGTTCAATAAGTTTTTCTTGTAAATTCCAAGCTTTCAGGAATTCAAATTAGAAATGCAAGACGACTTTTTCGAGAACACATTACAATCGAGTCATGAATTAAAGGAAGATGAGGTATCCGTTCCTTTCTGATTATCGAAACAAATATCTGCTAGGTATATGAATGCGAAAGAAGAAGACAGATGCTCGCTGATCGACTGACTCAGTTGCGGAAGAAAGCTAATCTTTTCCCTCGTAAGATGAACTGTCCAATATAATTACTCAAAGTTTTTAAGAATCGCGCATGGATGAGCTCTATGCAAGTTTACAGGAAAAGAACAGTGCTATTTACATAGAACGATGGAAAAAAGCTGACCATTCGAATCGGTATGCAGCTTTGTAACCATTTTTGTTAACTATTTTTTACAGTTCTATGTTCCTGTCGAGATGGACAGGGCTAGAAATAAGAGCTCTAGCCGATTTATCTCTCCATGGAAGAGATGCTTGCTTGAAGTTAATGAGCGATTTTGATCCAATGAGGTTTTCAAAAATGAACGTTTATTAGCTATGATTTGTTTCAGTAATTTACCAACCGACGACATTCAGTTTTCGACTATGTGGGCCAGATTCATAGAAGTGGACATGGCTGAGTGGTGTGCAAACTTCAAAGATTATCCTATCCCTTATATATTAGCAAAGGATATGCATTTCTTCGGAACATTGGTTGGAGCAGAACAGTTTGATGGTAAACCCGATTGAATTGTTAAATTAAATTTTTAATATAGAGTTCGGGAGATCGTTGAGAGAAAATGCAATTCCTCTCCCTCCTCCATTTGAAACAGTTATCGTGAAACGGAACATGTCACCTCTGAAGTTCTACTACGATTTACAATGCGGTAAAATAGAACAATTAACTTCAATTATGCTTCTTCAGAAAGTACTGAGTTTTCTGCAACGTATGGGCCATGTTGGGAGCCTTGTCTTTCCATGATTAGTTTATCATGGAATAATATATCCGCTCCATCGAAAGATCCTTCTCCACCTCTACCATTTTGGGACAAAATGCGTTTCCTCCTGCATGGCAGATTCTCTTGGTTAAGCGAACGAGTTATAACTACGATGCTCGCGTCTCCGGATCCGTATAACACTACGGAAACCGTCGAAATGTGTTGGAATAACTATGGACTGGACTGGGCTTTAGGTAACTTCAAGCGAATAACTAATCAGATGAAACTATTTGAAGGAGAACTTCGTATTCGTTCGGAGTTTCGAGTTTTCATGCGGACTGCATCAAAGTATGATGATTCCAGAATTCTATTACTCCCTGATCTCAAGCTAAGGGTAGCGCTAGGTTTCTAATGATCTTGTTCTAGATTTGTTACTTTTTTTTTATCATAGATTGGGTATGCTCAGGAGATCCACATGACCACCACTCTGTTGTTTTATGTGCTCCACACAAACTTCCTCATTACTCAACAGTAAACTATCTTTTCATCTAGGAGTATATTTTGTTAATTATCAGGATCATGATTCCTACAGGGCTTTTCGATCACAACATCTGGATCTTGGATTCTCCTTCGACGTTGCAGCTGGTTCGACCAATTCTTCACACAAATTACCAAACATACTGTTGTACGCTAACACATTCAGATGTATCGAGTTCTTACTGGTAAAAAGTGACCGTTCTTCTCAAAAATGCTTTCTCGTTCAGCACACTCTCACTATCAAGAATAGAACAATCAAACGAGGCCGTATTTTCGGGACAACCCTGTTCATGAAACCTCAATTGAGTAAACATTTCAGGTGAGCTGGCTTATAAGATTTTTTAAACATTAGTGTTTGAGGCATGTGCAAGTGTCTCTGAATCTACCTAAGTTCTTTATAACTTACTGGATGTCGCACTCGTCTTCCTACGGGTTTAGAGTAATTTCTGACGGATTGAATCTGTTCTCTTCGTTGAAACTGTCAATGCATATAGAATCCGATTCAGTGAGACTGTTTTTCCTAACCTTCAATTTTAGTTCTTTTTTCTCAGGAAATAACAAGAAGAAGAACCTATGTATGGCAACCACAGCACGTGTCCGCTACATTGTGGGGAACAAAAGTCAGTCGATAATTCTGAGATGTTCAACTCTCTTTTTAGGTTCATGTCTTCGGAGAACAAAAAAAACCTTCATCTGAAGGAGAAGAGAGTGACGACACTTTGTTGATTGGACTGAGTAGAATATCATATGTGAGGGAAAATAATGCTGTTAAGGAGAATGCTGTTCACCGGCTCACTGCTGACGAATTGAAAGTAGGAAACTTTTATCAGCTAGAAGATCCAATACTTCATTTACAGGCTTCTTGGACTGAAGAAATCCGCGATGCATGTTTATCAATAGCCGACGGTGTTCACAGAGCCCACATGCTCCGCCGCATTCTTAGTAATGACGCTATTAAGATTCTCAAAGTTTTCCTCTAAATTAGTTTCGTTTTCCAAAAGTGATGTTTAGTTGCACATGGAAGAAGACCAGTCCATCCAGAAAAAAGTACACGAATCTGCTGAATCCATCAATGAAGAGGGTAGAGGACATCGGAGGTAGTAGATTTTGTTATCTGAACACTTCATTTCGGGTTCCAGGGGCTACAGTCTGTCAGATACAAATCAGTCTATGTTATACCAACTAATTGATGAAGCCGGAACCAAGTTAATTGCTCATTGTGAACAAGTAGATATAACTCTCTTATCCTCCTCAGAATGTTTTTTATAGTCCACAGACCTTCCAGCAGATTCATTGCAAGGAGTACTACAATGCACAACTGACGATATCCAAATGATCAACTGGCAAAGTAGGTAGAATACGAGTCATGATGCTACAGTGAATTTAGTTGACTTACTGAACAGTCAAGCAGTTTTGAAAGGATGTGAACGAGATGGTTTTATTTTGATAACAACATCGAAAGCAAGCTTGTCGCAGAAGGTTTGAAAACTGTTCAAAAAAGTTGTTTATTATTGTTTTAGATTCACAAGTGTGTTTGGAGAAACGGCCAACTACTTGGTAAAAAGTCATGGTCAGCTGCGATTTCAGGAATGCAGTACTTTGCCCCTGTAGGTATGACAACGGGGCAGAATAAAACACTTTTCCGATGGCTTCCAAGAGAACTCATAGAGGAAAGGGCACCTCCTGATACCGGTGCTGATGTGTATATGAGTTTTCTCGGATCTGGAGAAGCAGTTGGAGGGATTGTGCAGCCAGGTAGCCATATTTTCGTGATCACATTATGCAATACTTACTATAGATGGAGCTAACAAGGACACTGAACGTCTTCAATTACAAAGAATCGTGTCTCGATGCAGTTGTCAAATATATTTTTGTTACTTTTCTGAAGAGTTGAAAACTGATGCGCTTGAGGAAACTGGGGTGCCAAAGGTTGAGCCTCCGTCATCGTTGAGATTAGAAGACATTGGTGTTGATTGTCTCACTTTAAAACACAATATGCTTGAGGCAAGCACAAGTTCAGATCAGGTAAGCGAACAAAGAATCCTGTAACCTCCAAGCTGTTTAGTATGAAATGGTTGTGGATATTGTGAACAATTTAGTTCTGTTCCTCGATCCAAAAAAAAAAGAACTGGCTGAGCATAGAAGGAAACTCCGCTTTGAATGCCATGTTACAGACATGGCTCAAATGCGAGAGAGTATTGTTGAGCAACAAGTTTATTAAATATCAAAAATGCTCTTAAATGTTTGCTTTTAGTCTCAGTTACGTGATATCGTTTCTGTGGTACGATCGTTAGAACGACAAATTTTCTATCTGGATAGTCAGGCCAAAGAGGAAGATGAAGCAAAGAGGAGAGAGTTATATGATGAAATGGAAGAATACAAAAATCGACAGTTAGAAGTATCAGATCAGCTATATATTTATATCAGGTTTTCCGAGTCCCTTCAGCTTTTTTTGATCTTTGTCTTCAGTTGCTACAAACAGAGACAAGTAGAAGCAACTCGAGCTGTCGTTCATTGTCTGGAAGAGGATGGCTTGGCCGCAGTTGCTAGAAGATTTGAAGTTTGTTGTTACTAAGCTAGTCTCTGTTAATGTATGTCTTAAGGTATGCTTCGAAGACTGTATTTGGAGATTGACAGAGAGTGATGGACAAATAACATTGGCTGAAACACAAATCAGAAACTTCTTATATACCAGGATAATGCGAATTGATAATTCTGGAGAACACTCGTTCGAAGTAGGATCCATTCGAGTCTCAAATTTACTTCCTGACTCCATATTTCGTGATACGATCCACAGGTTTGACTTTTTTTACTTAATATCTAATGTTGTGTTCCAGAGATGATCGCCACATAACAAGGCAACCGGCTATTCGTCTCTTGCTTAAAGATTTAGCACCAGGTGAACATTAGCAACGGTGAAAATGAACTAATCCAACTGTTCTAGTTGGCGGTATATGTGTTAAAGAACATTTCGAAGTCAATATAGCTCCTATGGTTGTTCAACTCACCTCTCAATTCTTCGAAAAAATGATGGGCTTCTTTTTCCCAGGCAAAAATATCCATAATTCAGAGAATTTAGATTCAATTGATGAAAGTACTCCGGTTGGTCACCACTTTCTTGAAAATAGATTCCATTATTTTTCCAGAAGTTCTCGTTCACCAGAAGGATAGCTGGAACACTAAGTATGCGCAGCTCTAAAGGAGCGCAAGTTGATCGTAAAGCAAGCACGGCTAGCGGAAAAGTTTCAAACAAAATCATACCTGAGTCAGAGTTAAATGAGATTGAAAGAATGAGACAGAGAGCCGACAAGAACAACTTTTTCCTGTATATAAAAATACCAGAAGTACCATTTATTGTATCTTACAAGGTAAGTATTAGTCAGTACCAGTTCAGATTTTAAATATATTCTACGTACAGGGTAATAAGGATAAGAACATCGTAGATGTAGATAGGTTTAGTTTCCTTTTCCCATTATGCGAATATCATGAGCGAAATTGGACGTGGTTGGATCTTTCATTGGCTATCAAGAGTAAATGTAAAGGTGTTCTTCTACAACAAGTTGGTTGATTTTTTATCGAACTGCTATGAGAGGTATGATTTAGTTTATGAGACAGAAGCTTCTAAGCAATCGATTAACTGGTAAATCTGAGCCTGTGGAAGGTATAACCGAGGAAGACAAAAAACGTATCGCACTTGGAACAGTATGCAAACGAATCTTTCTCTGAAACCTTTATTCAAAAACTTTATAGACATCTTCAATTGGAAAAAAAAAGAAGAAGTAGCTATTTCAAGAAGAGTGCGATAGAAGCAATGTTCCAGTCATCCGCATTATTACAAGGCATATTAATAGTAGCAA